CATATCCATCAGTGGCGGATTAAGACTTCTTGGGGCCCTGGGATATTTTTGTTTTTGGGGGCCTTTTTTATGGGTTAGAGCCTAAAAATGACTAAAAGAAAAAGTTCCTCTAAAAAATTTTGGGGGCCTCTAACTTTGTAGTGCCCGGGGCTATAGCCCTCCTAGCCCCCCTTAATCCGACACTGATATCCATTCTTAAATGTTTATGTGGTCCCCCCGTTTTTTTGTTGTAAATAATTCTACAAGAAAGTTTTTGTAAACAGAGAATGCTTTTAAATTTTGTTGGCTGACAACTTGCCCACGTAATATTTGCTTAAGTAATGTAGCAATTTTGTTAATTGACAACTTGCCCACGTAATATTTGTATAAGTAATGTAGCAATTTTGTTGGTTGACAACTTGCCCACGTAATATTTGCATAAGTAATGTAGCAATTTTGTTGGTTGACAACTTGTCCACGTAATATTTGCATAAGTAATGTAGCAATGAATTAAGCAAAAGTATATAAGCTTAAGTATATAAAATTTTCAACTAGAGGGGTTGTCAGAAAATTAAATGGAAAATTAGTATGTAACCGAACAAAATATAAAATTTAAACAAAACAAAAGATAAATATTAAATAAACTTTATTTAAAATAAGATCTTTTTGATGATAGAATACCTCAAAGAATCTGTGGTGCATGCAGAAAAAGCAGCCGTGGCGCAGTGGTAGCACACTTGCCTCAGAAACGTAAGATCCGTGGTTCAAACCCCACCTCTAGGCAAGTTTTGCGACATCGGTTGGGAAAGAGGCGTGAACTTTCTATTAAATGCTCTTCCGCGGTGCTCTGTGATAAGACCGTAAGGACTTCTTGGGGCACCTAAAATCAACATAAAAAAAAAAAAAAAAATCTCTCTGCTATAAAGGTTACTCATGTCCAATGTGTCAAATTGGGCGCCACAAGCTGAATGAAAAGAACCCTTTTGATACCACTGCATCAGAAAAAAAAGTTGTTGGGCTTCCTTAACATTATTGGCAAGGGCTTTTCCTATTTCATTGACTCTACTTTTAGAAGAAACCTTGAGCAACTTGCTATTAAGGATGACACTGCAGCTTATATTGCATCATATGTCTTGCTATTAAGGGTTACAACTTGATATTAAGGATGACACTGCAGATTATATTGCATCATAGGTCATCTCTTTCAAAAAAGCATCTTATTTATAAAGTGTCTCCAGATAAAATTTTAATTTTATTTGAAATTCAAGAATTTGTTTGTTTGATTTAAATAGCTCTCCTATAAAATAAAATTTGACAATTTAATTCAACAATTTTTATAGTTCGATTCAAAAATGTTATTACTTACACAAATCAAAGTTATCTTTTTTTATTCTAGATCAAGCTAGAAGAAACTCTTTTCCAAGAGCTGTGCATTAACAAGCTAGAAGAAACTCTTTTCCAAGAGCTGTGCATTAACAGCCAAAGTCTTGTTTTTATGAAGGAAACTCTAGAACAAGCAATCTTTTCCAAAAGCTGTGCATTAACAGCCAAAGTTTTCATGCTGATCTGATTCAATTAATTAAATTAAAAATAATTAAAATAAACTTAATTAAAAAAATCAAATTTTTTTAATTTGATAATTAAGTTTTAGTTTTTTATAAAAGATTAAATTTATTTTTAGATTGTAAAATTTAAAAGAAGTTTTAAATCATTGTTCTACTGTGTTTTAATTTATGTTATGTTTTGTATAATATTATATTTTATTTTACAAATTAAAAAAAACAAAACATGACAACTAAGGCTGTTTTAAAAATGCTTATTAGATTTAATCAAACTTTTTTCTTCAAAATAATTCATGTTTTAGCCAAGTGAGCGCAAATATATTAATAAATATGCGAGACATTAAATTGTATGATATATAAATTTTGTAAACATCTAAATTTATTTAAAAATTTTAATAAGATAAGTTTTTATAACAATTTTTATAAATATTTTTTATTTTAGTTGAGGAACTCAATGAAGAAAAATACTTCTGTATCATTGTTGGCTCAACTCCTTATATAGCCAAATTGGATTAAAGGTGTATCATCGTTTGCTTTGTTCTCTCATCTAGCACTCCAGTTGAACATATCTTGTTATTTATCCCCAAAAAAAACCATATAGCTGGATTTCGTGATAATTATCTCGAGGAGCTTGAAATAGAAATACATGACTGTAAAGGACAGTCTAGAAAACGCAAGCAGCATTTCTGGAATCTAAAACAGTTTACAAGCAAGTATCAAGCAATTGAATTCTTTGGCTGATTACTCCATATTTATTGCCCACTTGCTAAATCTTGTCACTGTGCATGCTTCATAGTCTTGCCAAACATCATTAAATTATTTTGGATTTCTTTTAGAAATTCTTATATTATAGTTCTTATATTCTACTATAAATTCCTTTCTGCATACAACTCATTGTTGGTCCGTTTTATTTTTAAAACTAATTTCAAAACATAAACATAAATCAATATCTTTACTGCTCTACAAGTTGGATTTCAATATTTTTAGGTATTGAGGTTTAAAAAAAACATAGCCTTATTTAAAGCCTATTTTACAAAGATTTGTATTTTTTTGCAAAATATGTTAAAAACTTTGGAAGCAGACAGTAAAAGCGCAATCTGAAACTAGAGTGCTTATCAAAAAAATTTAACTTCTGGAAACTGCCTTGATAACCGTTATCTGAAGTTCTTTTATAAAGAGATTTCATATGGTCAACAAAATGCTTCAAGCCGTTGATATTGACCTTTAAGTTGTTAAAGTGCTTTACGGATCCCTTTTCACTTTTTGTAAGATGTTTTGAACTTACACTTCAGCTTCCTCACCAAGCTACATAAACCTTATCTTAACTCCATTTCTAGTCGTGTAATCACACTTGTTAACCTATATCCCAATGATATTAGTTTATTCCTTGGAAACGAATGTATTATTTTTAGAAGGTTGTTCCAACAGAATTTTTGAAAAAGATGGTTAAAGTAAACACTATGGACCTGATTCAAACAATATCTTCTAAGAACTTTGAGTCTTTATTTCCAAACGTCGATGATGTACTACGATTTTTTTTGAGTACCGCCTCAACAATCTGTTCAGGGAAGCGGTCATTCAACGAATTGAAACAGATCAAGAACGCTCCACGTTCATAATTGAACAGGTTCATAATTGGGCAGGAGAGATTATCTGTACTTTCAAAATGCAGAAATAAAAAAAAAACGGTTGATTAACTTCATAATGCGTTTTTTAAACCTAGAGGTTTGCTCTAGACCTTTGAAAAATTAACAGGTCCCTAATAATATTTAAAAACTATGTCATGTTGGGTCTTAAATGAAGCAAAACTTGTATAAAAGTTTCAAAAATAATAATTATTAAAAAAAATATTATTACTTTTGATTTTACTACAATAAAAATAAGATCTATTAACATCAAAAGAAAAATGTGCTTATTTTTAAGTTTTGTTTTTAATAAATATTTTTTTAATTATTTGCTTTTTATAAAATGGCTATTTTTATTGAAATTTTTCTATAATTTGGCTTCATTTGAAAACAAACATAACATATTTTTGAAAAACTTCTTGTCTTGAAACTTATTTTAAACCGTTTTATTTTAAATCTTGAAACTTATCATAAACCGTTTTTTTTATTTTTTATTTCTTTTACTAACTAAAGTTACAGTTTAGTTAGTAAAAGAAATAACTAAAATATTTCTACTTATTTATTTAACTAACTAAACTGTGTACAATATTATCAAATTAAAAGAATTTATAACGTCATTGATGTTTTTATTGGAGTCATCCAATGTTTTTTCATTTTCTTTAACAGGAGTAGTTTCATTTTCTACTTCATGATTTTCTTCAAGGTTAAATGAATGACTTGCTTTTTTTGTTCCACCAGCTCATTCCATAATTTCAGTACCTGCTAAATTACAATAATTAAATATTGAATTATACAAACTTGCCATGAGAATATCATCTTCTTCTGAAAAGTGATCGGAAAGAATGTTGTATTGAATTTCATCACTTGACGAAAAAAGATGTTTAAATAAACTTTGTATAACTGACACGGGAGTTTCATATCATGTCTGCACCACTAAATAAATAACATCTTTCAAATTTATACTTTTCATTGCTGAAACTATTTTATTTTCTTCATCTAAGGCTGCAAGACATCCAAGTAGATGTTTGCGATAGCATTGTTATAATGATTTTATCACATTTTGATCTGGTGGTTACAATAATGAAGTGTTATTATTATGTGTTATTAGGGCGAAGAAATGTAACTTTGAAATTCGGGTTATCAGTAAAATTATTCTCAGTCCCATGGTAAGTTGCACTATCTACTGAGAGAAGGGCTTTTACGAGAAGATTTTTAGTTTCTAAGTGTCGAGTTACTGGAGGTATGAAAATATCATCATACCAGTCGTTAAAAATATAAGTTTGCCAAGTATTTTTAGATGGTTTGTAATATACTGGCAAGTTCATATTTTTGAAGTAACGAGGATATTTTGATTTACTTTTCATCATCAAATCTAATTTATGCATACCTGTAGCGTTTACGCATGGCATATCAGAATTTTTTGTAAATTGAGGTTATGTTGTTGTAAACAGCTGGTCTTACTTCTGAATTAGCCTAAACTTAATTCAAATATTTAGCTTTAAAAAAATAAGTTACTTATACAGAATAATTGAAATAAAAAAAGTTGCTTATACAGAGGTTGTTTATAAAGAATGTTGCTTATACAGAGATTGCTTATATTATTGCTGTATTATCAGTTTTAAATAGCTACGCGCATATCGTGATTTACGGAACCGATTGTTGTGCTAAAATTTTGTGACTCACTTTTTTCACTTCTTTTTAGGCAGCGTGGGGTAGACGTAGTTTTGTGGAGTTTCTTTTTAGAAACATATATACACATATTAACCATACATGAAAGTTTAAAAAAAGTAATGATTTAGCTTCTCTTCTTTCCAAAAAGTATCTGTGTCTTAGAATTTCTTTTTGGAAAGAAGAGAAGCTAATCTTTGCCTTTTTTTAAACTTTTATGTATGGTTACTAAACTTTTTAACGGATTTTTTTACTCCTGAATATTTGGTTGATGCTTTCAAATGAGTTTGTGGTCGAAGGCATGTCGTTTCCGCTTTTTTGATTGTTCAGCCACGTTTATACATGTATTTTCTATTTACGTGCCCAATTCCAACGAAAAACAATTGAGAGCAGATATGTTAACGGGTGCTTTATACTGTTTTTTTTAGGTAGGGTTAGACAAATGTTTTTTGTGGTGTTTCTTTTTAGTAACATATATAAACAAAAATTATATTTGGAAAGAAGAAAGGTTAGGCTAGTAATTTTATGTATTTTTAAAGTTATTTTATAGTATTATTTTATGTAACCACTAAATTTTTTTATGGTTAGTTTTGCTGAAAACTTTCATGAAAATTTTGTTGATGTTCTCACATTAATTTGTTGTCAAAGTAATGTCGTTTCCGCTTTTTTTGTTAATCAGGCAATTTTTTGCATGTATTTTAGCAAAAAATAATTGGGAGCAGATAGTTTAAGAAGTGTAGGACTTTTAGTACCTAAATTCGGTTTTTCTGTTTTTGTTTTTCCGGTAAGCTAAGTACAGGGGAGGAAAGGGGAGGGCGGATTGTAAACAAAAAATTATTACTTCATTATATCATTTTTATTTTTCATAATAACAATAACTTTTAAAACAAAACAACAGTGAAAAATTTTTTATTTACAATATTTTTTATTATTTTTTCATTGCTTTTTTTTGATAGTAAAGATGTTGTATGTAAAGGAGAACTGATTTAATTACTGTTACTTTTATTGACAACTTACTATTGACAATTTCAAGATGTTTAAATTTGATTATACAACTTTTTTTTTCTTTAGTCCAATCTGCACAGACTACAGCTGGTAAGTTATTATAGCATAACTTTTATTAACCATTAAAGAAATATAAATAAATATATGTATTTATTACTTATTACTTATCGTGTATGGATTTCACATTAGTTGCAATATTGATTTTTTATTACAACTTTTTAATTTTAGTGTCTACCTCATGTACTACACCTGGTAAGTCAAATAGTTCTTACTTTTTAATGTGTAAACTTTACAATTTGTTTAACTTTAGTTCCTTAGTCATGTGCTGCAACTAGTAATTTAAAAAACTATTACATTTAATATGTGTATGCACTTTTCGTTATTTGCAATATTAATTTTTTGTTACAACTTTGTAATTTTAGTATCTACCTCATGTGCTACACCTGCTAAGTTAAACAACTCATTTAATGCGCACAAATTTCTCATTGATTGCAATATTAATTTTCTAATATATTTTTTACCTTAAGTTCTTTCTATGTGTGCTACATCTTGTAAGTTTAAACTTACATCCAAAATGGACAAAAAACAAAAAATAATGCTAGAGCGTAAGCTGTCTGTATTAATTCTCGGTGAAATGATGAATAAATATAAACACTTATCTGCAAAGCAACTCAAAGATTTAGATGATGTTATGTCAGGAAGAATTGTTGGCAGAAAACTCGATCATGGTATGATGCTGACTTTTCTAAATCTATCATTTATGATGGTAGAGCTGAAAAGGTAAACAATAGACTGCAAGACAGAATTTTCATTATTTCTTATGGAAACAAGATGAAACTGATATTGAAGCTGTGGAACATATGATGCAAAAAATACACCTGAATGTATTGTGAATTAGTATTTTCCTAATTTCAATGACATAATAACAACAACATCAACTAGCTATTTATTTTTCTTTAATTGTTATTATTAAAATAATCTGAATAGTTATAATTAAAAAATAATAAACAATAATTACAATAGTTTATAGTAATAATAAGAAAAATAAATAAAAACAAAAAAAATAATTAACAAAAATTTATATATAATAACTAATATTTACTATAATAATTAAGTAAATCAAGTTTTGTGGCTTGCAAATAGGTACAGGAAGTTTTGTGGCTTGCAAATGTGTACCGCAGGTTTTGTGGCCTGCAAATAGGCACAGCAGGTTTTGTGGCTTGCAAAAAAAGATAGGTAGACGACTCTCGCTTACCTTCACATGGTGTCTATTGTTAAAAATTGTTTATTTAGTTGCATTGGAACTTAAATTTAAATCATTTACTAAAAGCCAAGACATAAATTAATTACTATTAATTTTTATTTTATTTTATAGGTTGGTGGGTTAAATATGATCATTTAAATGAAAAAATGTATACTCGTATAACTTATAATCTGGTCAAACAATTCTGTATTGTGCTTTTTTTTTTTAATAATTGCTTGCGAAAATGTTGAAAATATCATTTCTATGTGATTTCTTTTTTACGTTGGTTGAGGGGAAGGAGGAAAACCATCTCTCTCTTCAAATTGTACATCACTAGTTTATGTTCTATAGTAAAAAATTTTGTTCTATGTAATACAACAGTTTTTTCAATACTAATGTATGTTATATAGTTATAAAAGATTATTTTTCCTTTTTAGCAATACATTTAATATTGAAATAAAGATTACATTATTTTTTGTCAGGTGGTGGTGGTGATGGGGGGGGGGGGGGCTTGCTGGCGGTGCATCATACTCCCTTCCTCTAAAGTAAATGTGTCCATCAATAATATATGTTAAATAGTAATAAAACATTATTTTTACTTTTTAAAAATACATTTAATTATTGTAATAAAAGATTAAATTATTTTTATTTTTCGTCTGGCAGGGGGGTGATTCGCCCTTCCCTAAAGTCAATGTGTAAATCACTAATGTATGTTGCATAGTAATAAAAGATTATTTTTACTTTTTAACAAAATATTTAATTACTGTAATAAAGATTAAATAATTGTTATTTTATTTATATTTAAAAAGTGCTTATTTCTAACAAAAACTTGTATTTTCTTAAGGGTTAGATGACTCCCTTTGGCTCCCGAGTTACACCCTACTTTGAGGCACCAATATGAACCTGTAGCCCATTAGTGCACCTATCTTGTGATACCAAGATATAGTTATTTGAATAAGAATTGACAAAGTTATAAAAATTTAAGTGAAAAAAATAATTATTTTGACCACAGTTTTTTTTAACAATTCCATATACAGTTAATTCCCGATGACTTAAACCACCAAGGGACCAAGTAAAATGGTTCGACTTAACGAATGTTCGACTTAAGCGAAGTCCCGATAAATCGAACTTTGACAGAAATGAGATATTAGTTCGAGTTAAGGCGATTTTTATTTATTCAATACTAAAGTATAAACATTAAATTTACACTATTGTAGTAATAAAAAGTGTGGAAAAAGTTCAGTGAAAAAAGCTACGTATATCCGCTTGTTTTAGCCTCTGATAATTCTTTTTCCACAATTAAGTTTATTTGGTTTATACATTTATGAATACACTCCCCATTTTCACTGAATATCATGGTCCATCGGCTGTAGCTTCGAGGTAGCGTTTGGTGGTAAAAAAATTAGTTCTATTGATTCGAGATTATCAATGATTGGATGAGCTGGACAATTATCAACTAATAAAACAATTTTTAACCCTTCCTTTGTAAATTGCCGATCAATTTCACGAACCCATTACTCAAATAGTGCCATCCATCCAACTTTTTTTCTGACTGCGATAACAGCAGGGTAAATGCTTTACATTTTTAAAGCATCTGGGCGATTTAGATTTGCGAATAACAAACATTGGCAATTTTTATCCTAATGCATTAGCAGATGCCAATCCTGTAAGACGTAGTTTGCTGTGTTTCCCACTGATACATTTTTCATTTTTAAAATGTAAAGATTTATTTGGTTGGAGCCGTTAAAACAAGCCAAATTCGTTAGCATTATAAATCTGGTTCAAATTATATTTTGATAAAATGGTTGGTAACGTGGTGATAAAAAACTTTTTTAAAACTACATATACAGTATGTGACATGATTTGGAATGAATATACATTTGAAGGATTTTTCAAATAAACTTCATTTGATAACTCAATGTTAGTTTGTTTTTATTTTCATTTATCTGTTGATTAGTAGAATAATATTTACTAGTAAAAATATTTATATATGGTAAAGTGTGTATTTTATTCATGCAATATGATTTCAATAGTCAATTTTTTAATAGTTTAATGGCAGCAAGTATTGTCATTAATACATGCTGCCATTGTTACAATGTAGTAAAGTTTAAAAGTTATCAATGTACAATGAATTTTTTTTAAACTACTTTATTATGGTGTTGTTTATTTTTTAGAATCTGCTGTGAAATAAATTTAATATATAATTACAAAATGTAGCTCTAAGACAACATGAAATCAAACAATAATAAATTTGGTCAACGATAATTGATATACGTTATGTTTGACTAATCATGAATATAACTATTATATATATAATAATATAAGTACTTTACACTTGTTTATAATTGTCAATTTTCATTGTGAAAGTAGTTTTAATACAAAATTTATTGTGGTCAAAAATACAATTGTTTTTAATTTTTTTTCAATAAGTTTAAATTGTAACAAATAATTATTTTCAAGTAATAATGTAACCTAAAATGATTATTGTTCAATCAATTACGATCAAAATGTTAGCAATATTGATTATTTTTGCATTTATTTAATTATATAAAAGATATTAAACCCTCACCAACTGATATAAGGGTTTCATTTCATGATATAACATAATAGTTAAAAGTTGAGTCAAGATGGTAACATAATAGTAAATGGGAACATAGTAGTCATATTATATTGTTGTTGTTTACAAATCTATTTATGTCATCCCTAATTAATGACATCAAACATTTACCGTGAAATAACTTTGTTTTAGATTCCCTGCAGGATGCCTGTTAAAAGAAAAACTGAAGAAACTAAATGATGGCAACTGAAGAAGTTGAAACACCGTTAATCATGGTGTCATATCGAGGCTTCAGTTTTCCAATATTTATTTTTTTATTTTATTATATATGTTATGTTTATTTTATTTTTTATTTTTGTTATTTTTGTAACAACAAACAATGAGAATAATTAACTGTCCTGCCCTGGGCCTCTACTTCAATCTGGCTATGGTTATAACACGTATATCGATTTATATACTGTATTGAGTTAGCTTGTTATTTGTGTGTGTGTTTTTGTTTGCCTAGTGTTTTTTAGTTATATGCAAGATAAGGCATGGTATGGCACACTGCATGGTATTCCCTAAATAATATTATTTATAATATTATCAATAAATATTATCATTATCATTATTATTTTCAATTATTATCATTTTATCATTATTTTTATCATATATTATTATCAATAAATATTTTTATCTTTACTTTGTAAATATATATGCTATAAATTATTATATTATTCAAATGTTTATTTTTAATTTATAAAATTAGTTTAAAAGTTTATGAAAGCACTAAAGAAGCGAAACAATAAACTTTAAAGCAGAATTTTGTCATGCGATTATGGTGACGATATGAGAGAACTACTATGGCAGAATATTACTATAGTAGAACAGTTTTGCATCAAATCATTGTATAATATTAGTTTTTTGTTTATTATGAAATTCAAATCTGCTTTTTCAATTGATTCGTAAAAACTACAAGTATAGAAAGCTGTTACTGTAATTCAAGATATACTTATTCAATGGTGGTAACGTTCTAACGTTGTTCTATGGTCGAAAGAATTCTAAGATTAAGAACATATACAATTCTTGAGTAATTTAGGTCAGGTGTAGATAGTAATATAGTTGGTGAGCATTAACAAGTAGGTTCATACAATCGCCTAATAAGTTTTGTTATTCACACATTCTTAGAAGCCGTATTTCCTAGCCGGCACAAATACATTTTATATACGTACTTTAAAATACTACAATACGTATTTAATCTGTCTTCAACTGGTCTTAAACGCAAACTTTAATACGTATTATTAAATACAAATTCAAAACGTGTTTAAAATACGCGTATGATGCGTTTTTCAATATGTTTTAAACTCGTATTTAAATCATGTATTTAAAATTTACGATCAAGACATGAATAATGCCTTTACAAGATAACTCAAGAAATCTTTTTTCGCGTCGTCTTTTTTTAATTATTTTACTTTTTAGAAAGAATCTTTAAAGATGACATTTTTTCTAAAAGTAAAATTATATAAATAATTATTTATCTAAAACATTAATATCTGAATAACATGAATTTGAAATTATAATTTCAAATTCAAATTAACAGATAATGTTTTTAATGAGAAACTATTGTAAACTAAATTATAAAAGTTATTTTTACAGCGCAGAAGTTTTGATTTATTAAAAACAACTTAATATATCGTAATAATATTTAATTTATTATATTTCACAATACCAAATTTTCAATTTGATGCTTGATCGCGTTTAAGTTGTCCAGGGGCATTCTTTAGCTTGTTTCCTATAGCTGCTGTATATCTTTGCTTTCCCATGTCGAGAGGACCCTTTCGTATTTATTTTTGACATAACAGAAATGCTAAATAACCTTAAATACATTTTTTTTAATTTATTTTCATTACATAGATTTTTAAAACGGAAATTTTTAAATATATAAATTAGGTTATTTATTTTAAACACAAAATTATAACATACCTGTCTAAAATATTGCGTACCATTTCTCCATAATCATTTCCTCTTACACATTTTCACATTTTTATCTATAAACAGATATAACGAATGTTACAATATAATATGTATATAAATTTTGAGAGAATTAACCAAAAAACTAGTATTACTAAAAACTTCAACATATTGGGTGGGGAACCTAAAAAATAAAGTGTCACATATAACTTGAATGCTTCTGTTTTGACACAGCTAGATTACTAAATAACGATTAGAATAAACTTATCTAGATATTAACTAGATTACTAAACTTTAATCAAGTTCGCTTTTTGCATTCTATCCCGAGGTTTCAAATAAATATATTAACTTATGGCATTTCACCTTACTGCCGTATCTTTCAATTCATCATTTACAGCATATAGGTCTGAAATGTCATTACCCTTAACTATATTGACGACTCCACTGACACTTGGTGTGTTTAATAAACGGTTAATCCCATTTCTAATTTCAATTAACAGTTTTAGGGATTGCTTTCAATATTCTAAATGGTATGCAAGAATATTCAGCTATATTCAAAAGAATAATCACAACTAGAATGGTCCAATATTAATAATATTTAACTCATTAAATCATTAAATACAGTTCTGTTACTATCACGAGAACCTTTTACTTGACATCGCTCACATGCATTATAACCTGTATGACCAATTATACACTTAAGAAAGGATCGTGCGGTGCATCACATACAATAGCTTCAAGTTTTACAATTCTCAAAATACTTATTTCATTTATAAAATCGTCAAGATAATATGTAACACAGTTACAGTTGCTTGTTCCAGAATACAAAGCAATATTAAAAACATTTGAGTCCTCAAATTTACCCAAAAAAGGCCAAAGCTGAACTTTTGATAATTTGAATAAAGGAAGTCCATCAATGTTGATATATTGGTTTATAGACTCGTGGGTTAAATGAAAACTAAACTGTTTTAATACCGCACATTTTATACCAAAATAAATATATTCTCCGCCACATTTTTGTTTATAATCAATCTCTCTAGGAGTTTTAAGCAATCTACGTGAATCTTTTGGCAAGTACCAATGTCCACTTTCTCATTAATGTTTGAGTAATCGTCTATGCAATATCTTGATATTTATATGATAAACTAACTAGACCAAAAGTAATATCTTTATCTTCATTATCACTGTGATCACTATCATCGCCTAATGTAGGACGCATTACTGTAACAGTATCAAAATCACATTCATCATAACTTCAATCAGACTCTAAAGATATGGATTTTGGTGAGCTTTCTGATCAGAATGCACACCAAAATCCGTATACAAATCACACTAAGAGCACACAGTTTGCACTAATCGTGTCATTAGTGCAAACTGAAACTACATTTTTAACACATAAAGTATCAGTAACCAAAGAGTTATTTTCAATAGAACTAAAACCTCTTATTTAACAATTTGCTTAAGTTCAACATTTAATCTTCTGTATTTACGATAGTATTAAACAATTTATTTATCTTCTGTATTATTGTAAATACAGAAATACAGTTAACATTTAAATTTCTTTAAATGTTAACCTACATAAAACAGTTCGATTTCGTTTTACGACGCGGAAACTGAAAACTTCTTATTGTTAGTATATTGTATTGAAAGTACTTCTCAAACAATTTATTTAGATCCTCTATAGTATACAGGTAAACGTATTTAAAACGTATACAACTTGTATTAGCTTATTAATACAAAAATAAGACAAAAATAATGCGTATTGGATACGTCTTGTGCTGGCTAAGTTGATCCAAGAATTAAAAATGGTAAAGGAGTTGGACCTACGGCCATATAAAATATATATGAAAAACGAATTATTTAAACTAGAAAGTTATTATAAATGTATTTTATTCACTATATTTGTATTTAATTTAGTTTAATTTAGTTTAGTTTATTTCAGTGATATTTCAACGTGTATTTCAATTTTAAACATTTACAACGTTTAAGTATTTCAAGTTATGAAAAAAAAACACAATGTTTGCTACTTTTTGTTTAAAGATTTTTAACCACAATGTGCTGCATATGGCACCTCTGTACTGACAGTTTTCTGTCAGCCTAATCTCTCCCGCCTTCCTAAAACCATGTTTTGACCAAGATGTGGAGCTCATCTTTGATTTCATAGCTTTGATGTTTTTAGAGGAGTCTTTTGTGAGGGACTTTGTAAAAGGCTTTTCTAGATCCGTAAATATTACGTCTGCAATGTATCCCTGGTACAAAGCTTCTGTCAAAATGTCGAGCGTCTCAAAAAGAACTGATGCCTTAACAAAGTATTATATCAGTAGGTATGATACTTTGAGAAGGTATCAGCTCTGAAGTCCTCAGGAACAACTTTTTGAAAACAAAACCAGGTTGGGTTTTTAATATCAAACTTTTTAAAATGCAGTGATTCATTTTATGGCCTCAAAAAACGTTTCAATACTTGTTGTGGGATACTAGTAAGGCATACTGGCCTGTAATTCGATGCTTTGAGTTTGGAGTCCTTCTTAAACATTAGTGTTATATTTGAGTACTTTCAATCTGGCTTTTGACCTTGTGGCTTAATTATAAAAACAGACTAAAAGTAGTCATTTATTCGAGATATTTCCACCCCTTCAAATGTGATTTTCCCTTCTTCTTCCTCTAAAACTTTTATTCAGCATTTTATTTATTGCTGATTCATATTTTAGCACTGCTATTCTAACCTTGTTATTGACACGTTTGCATAATTCGGCGTGTCTCTTTCGTAGTGTTTCATGTTTAAGGCGTCCTATGGCTCAGTACTTTTTCAAAGTGTTCTTTTTTCTACAATTGTCTCTTTAACTTTCAGTGTTACTCATGAGGTGGGGACTTTGAAAATAGGATTGCTATTTGTTTATTCTAATTTTATTTATTAAAAGTTTTAAGATAAGCATTATAAACTTATTTAAATTATATACTGCATTATAATGTTATTTAAAAATATTTCTTTGTTTACTATTTTTCCATTTTGTTTAAAATTAAAATGTCTAATGTATTAGGCATCTTATATTTTTTAACTATTTAAAATTTAAGTAAATTTAAATGAGACTATTTTCAGAGGCAGCTAAATTTTTTGATGAAAAAGTAGCTAGTTTGTTGCCCAAAACTAGATAGCAACTTTTTTTGCACCACAATATTTTTAAACTTCAAGAAATCCTTACATAATTGATTATTGCAAATAAAATTACATTGTGTTTGTTTAGAAACTTGTATTTTTTACCTCGATTTACTTTGTTACTGTTATCCCAATTTTCAAAAATTCTGGAGAGTGAGAATAACTTACTTTCTGATTATCAATATGGATTTCGATCTTCTCGTTCTACAGCTCATTTGCTAAAAGTATTAATCAATAGGTTTTATCGTTCATTAGATAGAGGTGGAGAGGTTAGTTAAGGCTATTGCTCTTGACATTTCTAAAGCTTTTGGTAAAGTTTGGCATGCTGGTCTTTTCCATAAGCTTTCTATTTAAGGTGTATCAGGTAACATCTTTATCACGATAAAAGTCAACACACTCTGATTGAATAGAGGGGGCATTTGATCTTGAAAAGGATCTCATTTCCGCTGGAGCATAGGGCTCACAGTGGCTGGTAAAATTTAATATAGATAAAACACAATTTTTTTTAGCCAATTGTTATCGCAATAATTTAAATCTTCCTATATTTATGAACGGTTATGTACTTGATTTGTCATGCACTTAGAACAGTCATTTTATTGTGACTGTTCCTAAGTGCTCTAAAAACTCATATTCATCTAGTTTTTTTCTTTGAACATTAGTTCTTTGGAATTCGTTTCCTTAATCTTGCTTTCCTGATTCATATAACTTGCAATCTTTTAAGTCGTCTGTCAATCGTCATCTTGCTCTATAAACTTCATCTTTTCTATTCTGGAACACACACACACACAAAAAAGAACTTATATTTCTTAATTACCATGTAGGACAATGAGTTTTTGGTTTAATTTACACAGTCTGTCAAGTCTTAAAAAAAAAAAACGGTAAAAAATAAATTCCGCCATTTCGGCCGTAATTCTGCACAGTGGGCCAGAATCCCATTTTTTTGGAAAAAAGTCATAACTTTTTCTCCTTTCATCCATAGGCCTCAAAAATTTGTATATAAAGTAATTGGATGATTATAACTTAAGTAAGCATGGTTTTTTGGTGGTTGCCATAGCAACCCCGATTGCATAGAAGCACATATTTATGCTTAGTTCCAAAGTGTTATTTTTAGCCAAATGTTTCTAAACTTGTTTTGCAAATTAAAATATTTTGATGATTCTAATATAATTGAGCATAACTATTTGTTTTAATTTACAGCCACACTTTAATATTAGTACACACATTTCCAAAATTTTTAAGATTAAATACAAAAAATACAAAAGACACATCTATAAACTAATATAATCTGTGGATGACATCAATAAGTCAATAACTCCTGATGGTAAGTTTTTCGTTTTGGTGTTACTTCCTGCTGTCTTTCTCAGAGATGCAATAAATGGATCGGATGTACACAGTAGTCGATTTAACAAATTTTGGTTCGTTTTCACACGAGATGATTTTCTTGCAAAATGTTCACGATAGTTTTGAAAGTCTTTATTGCGCGCTTCTTGAGCTTCTTCAGAATACATACCAATGGGTAATGCTAAAGTTTTAATAATTTCAGAACCATGAATTAAAATTTTGTGCAGAGATTGTGGCATATAGTACCAAGGAAAATGATGAACGTAAAGACGAGCTGTTTTTAAACAGAAAGCCTCAAATTTTTCAGTGTCAATATCTAAACCACATGAAATTGTTGCCAATATAATATGCAAATTTAGAACCAGTTCAACATCAATATTTAAAATTTCTGCAAACTTTTCTGCATTTTGAAATGCTCTTCGAGCCGTATTTCCATCATTTGATGTTCCACTACCACTAGATTTCGGAATATCAACTATCAAGCCCATTTCATCTTTAAATCTATTTTAAATTTGTTGTTTCAGAGCCTTTACTTTAGATTTATCTTCTACTGTTCTTGCCTGCCACTTTTTCAAAGTCATTTTATATCCAATATGTAATAAACATTCAAAAAAACGTATCCAAGCATGTAAGGATGATAAACCATATGAATAACTGCCTGTCATATCGTTTTTCAAAATCATTTTTTCAATATCATTTATTACTTTGGGACTTGCCCCTCATATAGTACAGCATTGACTAGAATTTGTAACATCTGAAAGAGCAGTGTGAACTTTTCCATCAATCATAGTAACTTGTATTATATGATGTATTTTGATTTTTTTGTTATTTATATCAACTTCAGTATCTTTCAAGTTTGAAATCTCAAAATGAGATCCTCCTCTGATTTAGAAACTGCTGCCGTTTCTTTTTCAAATTTAAAACGCAGAGGTCTACAGTACATTGTTGATGATGGTCGTGGGTTTCGCCAAGCTGGGTAACGTTTTCCATTTGAAAAGCCACACAAGTCCAATGGTACTAGGCAAGTAATAAAAATGCCTGCTCATCGTTTAAATTTCTTGTTACTGTTTCTTGCGATATTTGTTTATATATGGACTGTCCTGTGGCACCATCAAAGCCTATTTTGTATCTCAGAGAAAGACTATCTGGAGTGCCTTCAGTGCTAAGGACATCATACTGTGCCTGGCATATTCTATTTGATGTATGATCCACCAAAGCTTGCAGTTTTATTTCAGCTGAAAAATCTGAGACAGATATATCTGCAGGATAGCATAACAACTTTGCATCTCGAACATCATTATATGGCGGATATATATCAAATCCCTTTTCAACTGCTTGATTTCTAATAATTTGGTAGGAAGCTTTTGTTAATTTAGCATCTAAAAGAAGACAAAGAGCTTCATCTTTAGACATTCTAAAATCTTTTTTTGAGGTTTTTTCAATTGGATTTTCTTTTCTCCTTTTAATTTCTGAAGCAAATTGCAACGCAGAAGCAGAATACATTTCAGTTAAGTGACTAACTTTATGTTTTTTGGTTTTAGTAGAGTAGTCATCAAAGTTTGCCTTAATTGGCCTTCCAATAGGTATTGGTGTTATATTTATATCTTCAGGAACATGGCTTTGCAGCCATTTTTCATTCTTTTTTTCAAATCGAGCCATGTTGCTATCTGACTTGCGCCACCTATCTCTTAGATGCGCTAGTATAGTTTCTAATTGCTTCTTGTTGCAATCCAAATTCATTGCCTCAATAAGTGTTCCCTCAATACCACAGTCAGATATTTGTAGATTATTACGCTTGTGCACTAAGAATGCATAGATATCAAAATATTTCATTTTCATCCTACAAATACAAAAAATATATTATTCATGAGACATTTGGACAACCAAACATGAAACAAGCTCCACATATTTACATGTTCATTTTAATGTGATAAAAAAGATGTTTTGCTGAGAAATTACAATGATTGGAGCCTGGGAACACAAAAAAAACAGAATGTTGGCCCCCCTGTCCCAAACATGCAACTCATAAAAATTATGTATAGAGACGCAGTCGACATCCGTCGACAATAGGTAAAATATATATCGTTTATGTACATATTAGACAAGATATTTCAAGTCTCAAATTTCTGGAGGACCTTGGAGCGCAAAAGTATTTTATTATTTAAGTGAAGTTTTCACTAAGAAAAGTACTTTAAATACACAATCATTAGAAATCAATTTATTTGATATAAATTACGTGCAAAATAACTTTGCAATAAACCATTTGATAGATAATACTTTGTTTTATTAAATTATGCAATAAAAAAATGACGCTCTAAATATTAATAAATTTTTTTTGCTTATTAGTAACACGAAAAATATTATTAAATAAATAAAAAAATTAAAAAAATTAAAAAATACCTTTTTTAAAAACAGTTAAAAATGCAAACGACATGATAGTTATGCAGAAATATATACATTTTATAAAAGCCAGATGTTTAAGCTATAAAATGGTATATAATTATGTCATTTTTGAGAATGTTTTTTAAATACTTTTTTCCACCATCTGGCCCACTGTGTTCTGGCCGGAACCGGAATGACCTAAAAGACACCAACTCCGGCCAAAATTCCGGTACATCTCTAATTAAAATTGACCCAGACATGGATGTCTGGCTCAATTTCACGGCAATGTAAACTGGTGTTAATTTACAAAAAACATGATTTCTTTTTCCCGCCTAACAAGCGAGTAAAAAATTTACATGTGCAATAACAAAATAAAAACACAAATCTTTAATTTTTGTTAACTTTTTTCTCTAGAATAGAGATTTATTGAACTTTTTCTCTCTTTTTTCTTTTTTCACTAGACATATGAATTAAGTAAAAAGAGACGAACCGGTTAAACCTAACAAATTTTTTAATCACGAGTTTACGACTTGCTCTGTAAAATGTATATTAAACAGGTAATCAAAATTACATTTTATAATTAATTATTATGTAGAATAAAATTGATATTTAATTAAATTGATTTAATATTAGTACTTAATATTATAATAGATTGATAATACTTGTTAAATAGTTCTAATTTTAAGTAAATTAGGACTTTCATCAACATCAGTATTCTGATTTTTAATATTTAATTACTAAAACCACCACAATTTGATCTAAAAGCAGTTATGAAAAAATTTTAAAATATAATGATAACTTGTAAAAATATAATTTTCTAACAATTTTGCTGGTTTTGTAAAGGTAATTATTCAAGGTTTTCGAAGTTATCGCGATCAAACAGTCATTGACCCATTTAGTCCAAAACACAATGTAGTTGGTGAGTCTTTATAATGTTTATTTATAAATTTATTATTATTATTTTTTGGTAATTATTAAAAACGCTTAAATGAAGTTCTAATTCTATTTTGTTATTACTGTAATAAAATATTCATGAGCATATATTTATTTTAAATTCTTTTTTTTTTTTTTTTTATTTGCTTTTTTTCAAACTTCATTTTATTCCATAGATTTCATCTGTGCTGCTGTTAATTCTGGTTGTAATTTTTTAATCTTTTTTCCAGATTCACTCTCTTGAAAATAAACGTCTTTTTATTATTGCTAGATATCAATGTATAAAGGTGCTGTCAGATGTCTAGCTCTAATAATCAGTTAATAATATGTAACATAATTTCTTATTTCATCTCAGAAGTTATGTTTTTAGAAACTTTTGCAAAATTATTAACAATGTCATTAACATATGCAATTCTAATATTCTATATCTAATAGTATCATCTGATCTTATTACCGTTCCCTAGGATAAGGCATAATTTTTTTCTAAACTTTTTTTACATTTTATATATGTATAAAAAATTTGCTATTTCGAAATATAGAGCAAATTTAAAATACCCATTCAGAGTAAAATTAACTTTTATTTTTTGGGAATTAAGGATTTTTTACTTTTGATCATAAATAAACAAAAGTAAAAAATTTCAGTCTAACTATCGTGCAAATTTAATTTTTGAATGAATGAACTTTTAATCTTTAGCTTGCTATTTTAGTTAACGTTAAAATGAAGAAACGAAACATAAACTTTTTTAGAAAGTTTTGTTTCTTTTCCATATTCTTTTTGACTTTTTTACAATTTTACAAAATTAGATTTGATGTCACTCTTATAATTAAAAACTATTCATTGGAGTGACACCTTGATAAAATGATAAAAATAACAATTACAATAACTTAATAAAAGTTTTATTAAGATCTGCGTAAAATAACCCATAGTAGTTGTATTAAACGTAATTTTTTAAATTATACTTAATGATTTAAAAAATATTATATTTTTGAAAATATAATATGATTTTAATATATAATATATTTTTTAATCAAAAAAATATAACATTTTATAAAATATGTTTACCATTATTATCTCTGCTTTAATTATTTTTATTTTAAAAATGCCTTTAGTAAAAGTTAACTTTTACTAAAGGCATTTTTAAAAAATAACTTTAGTAAAAGTTAAATGAACAGATTTGCTAATATTTAAATCAAAATTTTAAAATTAGAATAATATTAAATACATTTATTAAATGCTTATTTTTTTTGTTTGAATGATTCAAATAAATATTCAAATAAATATATGTTAAATATTCTTTTAATTTGTTAAAAATTTGTTAAATATTCAAACAGCGCTCGAAATAACGGCCTATCAACGATGAATGATTGGCTATTTTTAGGGAAATTTCGAAAAATTCAAGGGAAAATACCCTGTTTTTGTGAATAGTTACATTTGATTGGCAAGCTTTGAAAAACTATTTTGAGTGCTTTTCGAATATAAGACTTAAAATTATTATATTCGATTCTATATATGTAAATATATTATGTAATGTAAATATTAATTAAAAATTGTTTAAAGTATTTAAACATTGAATTATTTAAAACATTAATAACTACTAAAATTAAATTTACTAAAATATAGTTAATATAAGTTCAAAATAATTTAAACAATTTTCAATAATTATTTAATAATAGCATTGTATTTGTAAAAAAAACGTTTATTAAAGTCTTAAGTATAATAGTTTTTTATTGTAATTAAAGTAACATTGTCCACCGTTAAATTCATGTATTTAAAAAAATGTCATTTGAGCTTGAAAAAGATCTCACTTCTGCTGCTGCATGAGGCTCACAGTGGCTGGTTAACTTTAATTCAGATAAAACCCAATTTTTTTCAGCCAATCGTTACCGCAATAATTTAGATCATTCTATATTTATGAACAGTGATGTTCTAAATGAGTCATCTACCCTTCATCTTTTCAGATTAACTTTTGATCTTTTTTGGAAACCATATATCAAATCCATTGCAAAACTAGTATCTGCTAAGGTTGCATCTCTTTATTGTGCTCAACACTTTCTTACTCAGGATTCTATTCTTTATCTCTATAAATCTCAAATCTGTCCTTGTATGGAATACTGTTGGCATATCTGGGGTGGATCTTCCAATGATTCCCTTACTCTTTTAGACAAGGTGCAAAAACGCATTGTAAACATAGTTGGACCTGTTCTTGTAGCCAATCTATAAACCATTATCACATTGTCGTAATGTTGCTTTTTTTCTCTTTTCTACAAATACTATAATGAGCACTGCTCTAAAAAGCTAGTGTCTCTTGTGCTATCTACTAAAATTCATTCTTGTGTTACTTGTCATTTAATTAAGTCTCATCCTTTTAATGTAAACTTTTCAATTAAGTCTCATCCTTTTAATGTGAAGTGCTCCAAAAGTTCTTACTTGTCTTGTTTTTTTCCTTAAACATCAGTTCTTTGGAATTTGCTTTCTTCATTTTGCTTTCCTGATTCATATAATTTGCAATCTTTCAAATCATCTGTCAATCTTTATCTTGTTCTATAAACTTTATCTTTTCTCTTCCAGTAACTTTCAACTCTAATAGTTTTCTCTAATTTTTTCAATTCATTTTTTCTTTTTTTCTCAAATTTATTCAAGCATAGCAAAGTTAAAAAATATTACTTTTTAAATGCCTGTTGTTCTCACCCTTTTTAAGTGCAATTATTATTTTATTAAGATATAAAACCTAATTTTAGTTTGTTTTTTTTACTTAAAAGCATGTAACTAATTAAATAATTTACGGTTTTATGTTTACGGTTTTTTTAGAATTATTTAAGATCAGAAAGTATATTAAGAAAGTTTAGCCTTGTTATAGATATGTTAAAAACATGCAGAGAAAAAAACATTAGTTATAAAACTTTTTTTTAATTTGATAAAAGTTTAGGCTTCCATTAAATCGCAACAGACATAACAGTAATACAGTAAGCTAACTCAAAACAATGTTTATATATAAGATAAAAAACTATTTTTAGTATTTTTAACTTTTGTTTTCCCTCCTTCAATTTACATATAGTTACAAGTTCATACTATACTGCAATTAAATTTTGTTAAACAATTTGCCGTTTTAAACAAAATCTTTGCCTACAGCACATAAACTAAATTTGTATTTCTAAACGACGTTCTTTTTATGAGCAATCTAAAAAACCAATCAAAATGTAATAAATAAACTCTGACCATTTTTTTTGTAATAAAAAACAACTTCAAAACTAAAAAATCACTTATTCATAAATTTGCTATATACTTAGTTTACTACACAAAATTTAATTGCTACATCCTTTAAAATATTATTGTCAGAAGCTATGCTGTTATAAAGCAATCCTTTTTTAATCAATAAATCATTACCCCTATCGTAGCAGAAAGCAAAAAAATTTTTTTTTTTTGCCGACATAAAATTCTTTGAATTTTGCTGACTATATATATATATATATATATATATATATATATATATATATATATATATATATATATATATATATATATATATTAATATTTATATTTATATTTATATATATATATATATATATATATATATATATATATATATATATATATATATATTAGGGTTATTCAAAAATAGGTCATGTCAAAATTTTGATAAGAGCCCTAGCTTATGATCTGCCCTGACCCCAAATTTGTACTTAAACTTTTGTGAAATTTTTTTTTTTGAGCATCGGAAAGGTCCCCACAGAGGGCAAAAGGGTCAATTTTTGCCCCTTTTTTAGTAAAACTTTGCCCCGCTTGTGGTACCCTTAAATCTCCACCAATTTAAAAATTGAACTATCTATTAACATGGTAATGAGTTCTTCTACTTAAGTTTTAGGGGCTCTTTTCATAGTTATTTATTTAGGTAACTTTAAGAGCGATAAAAAAACATTCAAAATCACAAAATAATACAATATTTGTTTAAAAACAATAAGCGCTACATTTTTTTTATAAACAATAAAAAATAATAGTACCAGTTCAAAACAAAAATTAAAAATTTACAATTGTTTCAAAACAAATTGAATCAGTAAGTTGATATTAAATAATAGTATTTAGTGCAGCTTCGGCATGATACAACTTTTTTCTTCCATTTCAATTTCTCTTTTATACATGAGTAAAAAGAAATGTATCTTGTCTTTTCTCTTTGGAATGTACTTTGTTAACAACTTGTTGAACTAAGTTGACTGTTCTCTCTGAACAATCATTCACAACATCAAGATTCATAACGGCTGTTTTAAAATCTTGAGAAAAATCATTTAAAATCCAATACTCTGGAGGAAGCTTAATCAATTGAATCTCAGCTTTTCCATGACCAAGCATGTCAAAAGCCATGACTTCTCTGTAATTAGTGGAACTAAGCTGGGAGGCTCATCCTGTGAAAAGTTTAGAGTCATTAGAGTGTTTTTATCCAACAGCTGTCTTTCTAAGGAATATTCTTCTGTGGGACCTCGTTTCAGACTAATAAGTCTCTTAGCCATGTCGCCATGTTCTTGAAATTTCTTATCTGCAATTGCTAAAATGACTAAATATGGATCAAGGTACCAAGTATGTCATTGTATGGATTTAGAAACAGCTTGAGTGCCAGCTTTATTCCATTTCTCGAATCTTTTCATTTGCCAAATCGCTTTCATGTCCTAATAGTTAAAGCTTAGATTTATCAATGTTTAAATTATAAAAATAATATTCCTATTTTATGCATTTATTCAAAATTATATATATTTTTTCTAACTGCTGTTCAGATAGTGTACCTGTGTTGGAGCAGCTGAACTTAACTCGGCTCTGAGAAACCACTCAATGTAAAAAATAGAAAGAAACTATGTCATTTCTGTGATTTCATCCCTACTCTATTCATTGATTTCAAGAATTCTTTCCATGAGTAGAAATAGTTTTAAGTAAAATAAACTTTTACCCATAAATCTGGCTTGATGAACAGCCCCTGCTGGGATTGTGAAGTTTGAATCTGTCGCTGGGTAATAGTATCATCAAAGTAAGTTCAGCCAATTCTTGATAATCTTTACGATACTTTCCATCCTAAACAATATTTGTTAACAATTAATGATAACTTAAATAACTTAAAACAAAATTAAAGTTTAGGTAAAACTGGAAAATTATAAGTGAAGTACTATTTTACTCTATTATTTTTTTGAAATTGTAAGAAATAATTAGATTTAATTGAATTATTTATAAAGATTTTAATAAAACTATTTATTACTCCCTTTTTAAAAACTTTTGTGCTAATTATATATCTGCAAAATTGAATTGCATTCAGCTTTTGTTCATTAATCCAGGAACCAATCGAAGTTGATAATCTTTTCAAATCTTGCTTTTCAGTATCTAGTTCATTCCAATGGTTTTTAAGAAATTTGATTAATTTATTTTCTGGCCCTGAAGTATGAGTACTTGGAGAAAGCTCCCAAAAATGGGTAACATGATGCTCACAAATATGACATCGACATGCAGTTAACAACATAAGGCGCTGTAAGCGCATAATTATTCTGCTAAAAGCTCCTTTTATTTTACCTGTGTTAGCGCTAGTGGTATCAAAGTAAAGACACTGAACTTTATCATCTAATCTAAAGTTAAAAATGAGCTCTTCTATAGCTTCTTTTTGGTGTTCTTCAAAACCAGAGTCAATAGCTGTAACTCCAAGTAACTCGGTTTGTCCTTTAATCCTAGCAAGAACAGCTAGCCTATTACTCCAAATTTTTATATATGCTAGCCTTATAACAGCTAGCCTATTACTCCAAGTTTTGACTGTTTTAATAAAATGTTTCATCTTTAAAAAGTTTCTATCTTCCTCCCATTCTAAAGGAGGAAGTTTGAGCCATTTACCTTTATCGTTTAAGTTATGAAAGAGCAACCAAGATCTTTTCCCAATATACGGCAGTATCTCTAAGTTCTTGTGAATAGATGGAAGAATAGGTTTTCCAGAGTTGATAGCAAGTGGCTTTCCTACATCTATCAACTTTAATGCAATCTTTGCCTTTTCTTAAGCAGAAACCTTATTTGAAAAGACTGAAGACTGAGACCTCCTCAGTTAGATACCATGAGTGCCTGTTAAGAACATCTTGAGTTTTCTGAGCTGCATTAGAGAAGCCTGAGATCTGCCCTAGAGCGCCCAGATCATTGTATAAATGAATATCATTAATTGGTGCATTAGAGCCTTTTTTTGCTTCTAACCAAGCTTTAACATATAAAATTGAGCTGAAAGTCAAAAAGATTTTTAACTTTGCTATATCAGAATCCAGTAAATCTTCTTTAAAGATGACCATTTTCGGTGCATACAAGTGTGACATCCATCTGGCATGATGATTTGCTCCACAGGTTTTCCATACTTTAGGTTCTGGTCCACCTAAAAGATAAAGTGCTAACTCTGCAGCTTGTAATCACCTCGGCGATGCTTACATTTTACTTGTTTCTCTAAGAACACACAAGTTTCGTCTGTTTTTGTTTTAAGAAAAGAATTTTCTAGATCTAGAAACCTGTTAATTTTTTTTAGTGGAGCTTTCTCTGCGTAAATCCATTCTTGTTGAAAATCTTTGAAGTCTATATTATAGTTAGCTTTTTTTTTCTTTTTTAAATAAGGAGCTCCAAAATGCTTCCAAGATCAATTCTAAAATGTGATGGCGACAAGGCAGCAAAAGAAGAGTTTTCATTGATTTACAATCCTCTAAAAGAGTTGTAGCTCCATTCCTAACTCCTGTATTACTTGCAGTTGTATCAAAAACCTGGGTGACAATGTTGGCTTTGAGATCCCATTCCTCTAAGTCTTCCAAGATTCCTTTGCAAATAGCAAGTCCTGTACCAGACTGTATAGGTTTTATTGATAATATTTTTCCTTCAACACAATTAGGAAAGCCACTGACCAAAACAGTTAAATACTCAAATTTTGCCCTGAGATTTGTTTCAAAAGTTTTCTGTCCCAATGAAGTGTCAAATAATCTGATTTAATCTTATTTTGAAATTCTGTTATTATTTTCCTTGCCATTACTTGCCTATTCAGCTTTCATGATCTTCTTATAGTATTTATTGAAAGGCTAACATCGACAGGTTTAACACCACCTGTATAAAATTAAAAAATATATATTTCTTTTAGATTGTATACAATAATCTTATTTATTTATTAATAAAAAACGAACCTAAAACTATAATTGCAGAAGTATTCATCATTAGCTGAGGATTTGATTGCTTAGTTCTATCTGCAGTTGCTGTTATCATTAGGTGAGAAATGTAGTTTTTTGGCAAAACCAGTGTAATACTATCTAGAAAAGGAATAAAATATAAATATCTTATTAGAAAGATACTTAGGCTATTAAATTTAAAAAAAAGTATTATTTGCTAAACTCTTAGTACTTTTTGCATAAGCATATCAAGTCTGATTTAAATATTTCACATTATAAAAATAGTGCATAATCAGTTTGTTTACAAAAAAAACGCTATTATTGGTATGTATTTAACCCAATAATTTAAATCACGGAACAGATGAAACAGAGGATTTGTGTTTTTTGTTTAGATTTCAAATTCACATTAAAAATGAAATGCGGTGGTATTTAGAGATATACTACATAAACACTTTTATAACAAAAAATGATTTTTATAGTAAAAGGAAACACTAAAGGAGTCACTAGTAAAATTATTTTTTGAAAAATTTATGTGGGATTGTGGCCTGCCCTAATATATATATATATGTATATGTATATATATATATATATATATGTATATATATATATATATGTATATATATATATATATATATATATATATATATATATATATATATATATATATATATATATATATATATATATATATATATATATATATATTAAAAAATATTACAAGGTCAATGCAATATTTAATAAAAAATAAATTATAAGAACTCCTCCTTAATTTTGTTGTGCTCTTATGAACTAAATTCTTTTTTGGTTTATCTTTATTAATATTTTTAGTTGGTAGAAATGGCTCTGGCAAAAGTAACTTTTTTCTAGGTATGTATTGTTTTCATGTGTTTTCTTATACCTTATGCATTCTTTTATTTAATAATATTGTAAACTTATTTGTGACTTTTCTTGTCTACCACTGCTGAACTGAAGTTCAGCAGTGGTAGACAAGAAAAGTCACACTCCTATCTTGACTATGCATGCAATTGTTTTTTTTTTTAACTTGACTACGGTCAGTGCATTATTCATTAAATAATGAAAAATGCGCTGAGCCGTAGTCAAGTTAAAAATTTATTTAATATTCTATAATAATTTATTTTATAGTATTTTAAAACTTTTTAAAAGCATTTAGCATAGTGTAAACAAATTTTATTAAAAAGTTAACATAGCATAACAAAAAAAAAATTTGTTATGTTTTCGACTATTAAATATATGGATTCATCAAAAAGTTTATTAAAACAATCATTTTTGATGTTGTTTATAAAATTAACTGCACAAATTGTTTTAAAAACATTTACATTCATTGTAATAAATATACTTTTTAACAATATAATAACCTTTGATAATTTAAATGTCTTTTAAAGTATACAATCTTTAAAAGCAATTTCTCGCTTTGTTACCTTAGACTTCCAATATTTAATTACTTGCTGACATACAATGATTTGCACTTAAATGTCACATGTGAGATTCTGTCAAGTGTTTCATTAGACAAATTTTCTATGAGTATACTAAATATTTTGGAGTTCAAAAGTTTCATTTTAGAGTGATAATACTGTATCTCAGTTCAAAAATAAGTTCATTATGGAGTCTTTACAAATGTAACAAAAACAACACAAAATTTATAGTTTTTTTTTTTTGCCGATACATGGCAAATCTGTATGTTTTTTTCAATTACACTAAGGAAAACACTAAAAAACTGTGTTTATTTGTTATTTAAATTCTTGCAGTCAGGATTAAAAAAGGTAATTGCTGTTATTTTTTTTTTATAGCAATCCAGTTTGTTCTAAGTGATGAGTTTAATAATATGCGACAAGAAGAGCGACAGCAACTTCTTCATGTAAGTTAATCTTTTCATTACATTCAGTCTTATTGTAAGAGATTAAAATTGTTTAGTAATGTAACTTCTATCAATACTGTCAATAAAATATATAGTGTGATTTTTTTTGTTTTTGTGTATGTTGTGTGTAGGTTTTGGCTTTTAGGTTTTTGTGTAATGGTTCGTTTTTACAAATTCTTATAGTTTTTTTTTTTACTTGAATTAAATATTTGAAAAATGTTTTAAACTGTTTAAAATATTTTAATTAGTTTTGTTTTAGTTTTTTAAACTCATTATTTAATAGTTATAAATTTGATGTTAGGAGTAGGAGAATAATTTGCAACCTCTAAAAAAATAGAGGTAGAGAGGGTGGTGCAAAAATTAAAATTTTGTTTTTATAAAATGCAGAAAAAACAACAATTTATTTACTTTTTTTTTTAGTTTTTAAATTATATTTAATTGTGTTTATGCAAAAATACTTTAAAATTTTTATTTGTGTCTAAAGGGTTTTAAGTTTTGTTTTAAGTATTTGAACATAAAAAAAAAAAAGGAAAACCCTATCTTTACATTAGATTAGACTACCACCTGCAACAAGCCCTGCTGCCTTGCAGAGTGTGCTCTTCTTATGCAAAGGCAAGGAGAAATAAACTCCGACTAAAAATTCCCCTGCCTTGGGGCTTTTGGTTGAGTAAAGGCTAGAGATGGTGTCTCGATAAAAACACTCATCTTGGGCAGATGTTAAATGCATCCAGCTAAACATCCCCTGCCTTGGGGCTCTTGGTTGAGTAAAGGCTAGAGATGGTGTCTCGATAAAAATACTCATCTTGGGCAGATAATAACTGCATCCTGCTACTGTCTTGTAGAAGGTCTTCTAGGCAAAGACTTTAGGGGTAAGCAGAAAAATTCTGCTAACCAGCCTCTAACCCCTTCTTCATCTATTAGGTCGGCGTAGATGTAACCTGTGTTACATTGTTTCCTGCCTAGGATGAGGAATGCTGGATCTCCTTGACTCTACTCATAGAATTTTGCTTATGCCTCCTTGATAATGGCTATGCAACTCTTCCTGTTATCTCCATATGAGGGTACAGCTCTAAAACTCAGTTTAATGGTTTTGAGGCCGGCTGGTAGTAAGGTTTCCCGAACTCTGTGGTAGCTCTCAGAGAGGCTGATTCCATCAACAGCTGAAAAATATCAGAGTATTAACTGTGCCATGTTGCGCATGGATGGTGTCCCTGTTAATGCTTTTGGTGTGCATTGTCAAGGCCACATAAGGAGCCCTATGTCACGGCTTAGGGTTAATTAACAGGACTGAGACAACTGCATAGCTCATTGATTAGGAGGCTGTGCTCTATCTATGAATGATTCAAGTTCTCATTAAACCCAAATCATGATTAAAGTAAGCAAAAATTTAAAACCTAAAAAACCATCTTCACCACCTAAATATTTTAATATATCTTTTACAAATATTCGTGGTCTACGAAGCAACTTTCCATCAGTTGAGTCTTACCTCCTGCAAAATTCACCAGACTTGCTTGCACTCAGTGAAACAAATTTAAATTCTGCAATTCCTTCTTCAGATGTCAGTGTTGATGGGTACTATCCTTTGATTTGTAAAGACTCCAATAGTCACATGCTAGGTTTAGGGGTTTACATACGCATTAATTCCCCAATTTGTCGTGAAATCAGGTTCGAATCCTTTGACCATTCTTTTATGTGCTTTCGCCTAGCACCTCTTCACTCTATCACCTTTCTCTTCGTTCTTTATCGTTCTCCTTCTTCCCATGATTGCACTCTTTTAGATGTTATCTCTGATCAAATTGACCATGCCCTCTCTTTACCCCTCTGCCAATATTGTTGTTGTTGGTGATTTTAATGCCCATCACACTGAATGGCTTGGCTCTAACACCACTGATCCTGCTGGCACTAAAGCCTATAACTTCTGCGTTTCTCAATCTCTTACTCAGATAGTTAACTTTGTGACTCGTTTTCTTGACAACCCTAATCATTTACCTTCACTCCTTGACTTATGTCTTGTCTCTGACCCTAGCTTATGTTCAGTTTCTCCCTTTTCTCCCTTAGGTGGTTCTGACCATGCAATGATCTCTATAAATCTTTCTTCTCGTACTTCATTTTTGGGCTCACCTTATAATCGCACCACCTACTACTACCCTAAAGCTGACTGGGATTCTTTTCGTGATTTTCTTCGTGATGGTCCTTGGGCTGATGTTTTTTCTCTCTCAGCTGACAAATGCGCCTCCTACGTAACCTTGATTCAGGCTGGAATGGAAGCTTTTATTCCTTCTTGTCGGTTCCAAGTCAAGCCTCATTCTACTCCATGGTTTTCTCCTTCTTGTGTGGCTGCTATATCCAATCGTAATCATTTTTTTCATCTTTTTCAAATGAACAATTCTCTTGAGAACAAACAGCTATTTATTATTGCAAGAAATCGATGTAAAAAGGTGCTTTCTGATGCTAAACTCCATTATTCTCAGTTCACTAAATCTCGCATCTTATCGCAGAAGTTAGGTTCTGAAGACTTTCGGAAAATCTTCAACAGCATTGTTAACAAGGGTAGATCTAACATTCCATCTCTCATTCATGGGACTGATCTTATTACCTCTCCCAAGGATAAGGCAGAAATATTTGCAAAGAACTTTTCTTCTAATTCCACTCTTGAATCTTATGGACATTCTCTTCCTTCCATTCCAGTCAAACAGGTTGACCCATTGTTAGACATTCAAATCACTCCGGCTTCTGTTGCTAAAGTCATATCTCAATTAAACTCGTCTACAGCTTGTGATCCAGACAACATTTCTGTCACAGTCTTGCAGAATTATACTCCAGAACTTTCTTCAATTCTCTCTAAACTATTTAACAAGTGTTTTACTGAGTCTTGTTTTCCTGCTTGTTGGAGAATGGCATCTGTGGTTCCAATATTCAAAAACTCTGGAGAAAATTCTGACCCCTCCAATTATCGTCCGATCAGTCTTCTTTCTGTTATTAGCAAGGTCTTTGAGTCTTTGATCAACAAATTCCTCACATCTCATCTAGAGTCAAATAAACTGCTGTCAGACAATCAATACGGTTTTCGATCCTCTCGCTCTACGGCCGACTTGCTAACTGCTGTAACTGAAAGATTTTATCGTGCATTAGATGGAGGCGGTGAGGCTAGGGCTATTGCTCTCGACATATCTAAAGCTTTCGACAAAGTTTGGCATGCTGGTCTTCTCTATAAGCTTGCTTCATATGGTGTTTCTGGGAAAGTTTTTGAGATTATCAAATCATTTCTTTCTAATCGGTTTATTAAAGTCATCCTTGAAGGCCAACACTCTTCTTTATTTCCAGTAACTTCTGGGGTTCCCCAAGTTTCTATCCTGGGCCCTGTTTTGTTTCTTATCTACATAAACGATCTTCCTGACAACCTTTCATCTAAAGTAGCTCTTTTTGCTGATTACTCAACTTTATACTCCTGTCTTGACAAAAAAGTCTTCTCTTTTCGATCGCCTAGAACAAGCAGCTGATCTTGAATCTGATCTCACTTCAGTAATAGATTGGGGTTCACAGTGGCTTGTGAATTTCAACTCTAAAAAAACCCAATGGCTTACTGCAAACAACTACCGTAATAAGATCAACATTCCTATATTAATGAATTGCAATCCTCTTACTGAGTCCTCCTCTTTAAGTCTTCTTGGATTATCGCCTACTACTGACCTTTCATGGAAACCATATATACAATCGATTGCTAAATTAGCTTCTGCTAAGGTTGCTTCTCTTTATTGTGCTCGCCATTTCCTTACTTCTGATTTCATTCTCTACCTCTACAAATCTTTTATTCGTCCCTGTATGGAATACTGTTGTCATATTTGGGCTGGTTCTTCTAACGATTCACTTTCTCTTCTTGACAAGGTCCAAAAATGCATTGTAAATGTTGTTGGACCTGGACTATCTGCTAAGCTTGAGCCTCTTTCCCATCGTCGTAAAGTTGCATCTCTTTCTCTTTTCTACAAATACTATCATGGTCACTGCTCAAATGAGTTCTCATCTCTAGTTCCATCAACTAAAATTCATTCTCGTTTTACTCGTCATTCAGCTAAGTCTCATTTTATCATCTAGTTTTTTTCTTTATTCATCTAGTTTTTTTCCTCGCACTTCAATCCTTTGGAACTCTCTCCCATCTTCATGTTTTCCTGACTCATACAACCTTCAACTTTTCAAGTCTTCTGTCAACCGTTTCCTTGCTCTATAACTCTGTTCTTTTTTTTTTCCTAGTAACTCCCAACTTAATAGTGGTTGCTTGCAGCCTTCTTGGGAGTGAATGCAAATAAAAAAAAAAAAAAAAAAGTCGGATGAGAGTTAAAAAAGTTTGAAGTGCAGGAAAAAAAACTAGATGAATAAAAGTTTTTAGAGTATGCAGGGACAGCTACAGTAAAATAATGAGACTTAGCTGAATGAAGAGTCATTCGAGAGATGAGTTTTAGTTGATTGAACTAGAAATAATAGTTCCTTCGAGCAATGACCATGGTCGGGGTTAGAGTTAGGGTTTTTAGAGAATTTTTAGTATTTGTAGAGAAGAGAAAGAGATGCAAACTTTATGCTGTTGGGATAGAAGCTCAAATTTAGCATATAGAACATGTCCAATTCCTTTTTAAATGCGTTTTTGGACCTATTCTAGTAGAGAAAAAGCATTATTAGAAGAACCAGCCTAAATATGACAATAGTATTCCATACAGGGACAACTAAGAGATTTTTAGAGGTAAAAACATAGTAACAGGGAAATAATGGAGAAAAGAAAAGATGAAAAATAATTGTTAAAAATAATAAAATACTTTTTAAGAAAAAAAAAATAGTTATGTTGTATTTGCACAAATTTTTATATAGATAAGTTCAAAGTAAAAAAAATTGTTGATTTGATATTAATTAAAATACGCATTTTTTAAACTTATCTTTTATATCTAATTTTTGTGAGAATCTTAAAAAGAAACCATTTCAAATTAAGTACGTGCTAAAGTTGCATATTCTCTAATTGTAAAACATAGTCAGTGCCACAATTGTAAATAGTTTCAAAGCATAATTGGATAAATTTTTCAAATCGGAAAACCTTGAAGATGATTAACGATGAAATTGGCTTTATTCCCATTTAATTAACTTATTTAAAAATAATTTGTAAATTTTTATGTAGGCCGCCAAAACCAGAATTGGTTACACAAGCTATAGCTCATTGCGATACAATGAATAATAATAATAATAATAATATATATATATATATATATATATATATATATATATATATATATATATATATATATATATATATATATATATATATATATGTATATATATATATATATATATATATATATATATATATACATATATATAATACATTATAAATTGAAAAATGTTCTAATGTCACTCTGTTTTAGTTTTAAAGGAATGTCTCTATCGAATATAATCGAGACTGCATTAAAGGGCATATAGTCATACAACAATTGCAGTGCCTCCCGAATATCAATAACTTTTAGGCACACTGGATCCGTTACATTATCATCATCATTATCTTCCTTGTCATTAGGGTCACTCACTGCATTCTTAACTTCTTCTATCAACTGTTTATCTGTAAGTAAAGGTTCTGCACTAATTAAATTTCATCTGCAAAAATAACATCTTCAGCTGTTGTACCTGGGTAAAAATTATCAAGTTTTTCTATCTGATTTTGAACCTCTTTAAAAGGGTCGTCGTCTTCATCCGAATATACAGATTTTTGCTGTTCTTTGGAAATTCCTGCTTTTGCAAAACAATTAATGATGGTGGAGGTTTTCACTTTTTGCCATGCAAAATAAAGCATTTTCATTGCATCTAAAATCGAAAAAACAGGAAGATCTTTTTTTTTTATCAATAGCTACGACCAGCCTTTGCAATGCCAAAGATCTGTAATAAACTTTTAAAGAGCGTATAACTTCCTGATCCATTGGTTGAAGTTTAGATGTGGTAGTTTAGTTGAGCTCAATAGATTTTAGATTATTAACCATTAGATGTGCTGGGCAGTTATCTATTATGAATGCTTCTTTCTTCTTTTCTTTTGTAAACTTTGTATCCATTTCTCGTATCCACTCTTCAAACAGTATGCTATCCCTCCAGCTTTTATTTTGACTTCTGTATCTGCAAGGTAAGTGCTTAATTCCTTTGAAGCAGCAAGGTGATTTTGATTTACCTATAACAAACATAGGAATTTTATGCTGCGACCATTCCTGTAAGACGAATTTTACTGTGCTTTACCCCTATACACGTCTCAGATTGAAGATTTAGTGACTTATTAGGTTGCATACAAAAAAACAATCCAAATTCATCTGCATTATAAATTTCATTAAGTTTATACCTGGATAAAATTGTAGGGAGACTTGTTTCCTTCCATGGCGTGGTCATTTCAGCTGTACAAGAGTTACCCTCTCCACATACTGTCTTGAAAGAAACATTTTACCTGTTTTTCCAACAATCAAGCCAACCATCAGATGCTTGAAATCCATTTATATTAATTTTTTTAGCAAGTTCACTGGCTTTTGTTTTAAGAATTGTTGCTGATACTGCCACGTTTCTACTCCTTACATTTAAAAGCCATTTAAAAACAAGATTATCTAAGTTTGAAAATGCTCCTTGTTTAATTTTCATACGTTTTGACTTGTTCCCTAGCGTCTCCATACATTCAAAAAATTTTTCTTTATTTGATCCATGTTGACAGCGTATTTTTTGAATTGCCATATTTCATAGCAGCCTGAGACTTTGACAATCCTTCTCTAATTTCCCTTAAAGCAGCGTACTTTTCTTTAATTGATTTTGTATTCATTTTTCTCTTTACAGCGACAGTAGCCATAATAAAATGTAAGCACAAAAAAAAAACCAAATCCGCTTCATAAACTATTTAACCGTAACACAACAAAAGTCAGCTACAGCTGTACAAGCAGCATAGCAAAAATTATAAAGAACCACAACAATAAAATTATTTCGATGAACCCAACGGCCACTTTAGCTTGCAATTGTAAACTAAGCAAAATCTGATTTATGAATGGAATTTGCAGAAAAACAAATGTAATTTATAAGTGCATTGCATCATTCCCAAACACATCAGACAAAACATACATTGGTTCAAGAGAGGGCATGTGGAAAACTAGATGGGCGAATCAGAAGCAATCCTTCAAAAATAAAAAACTCACAAATGCAACCACGCTTTCTAAATATATATGGGATACACAAAACAAAACAAATACAACACCCAATTTAAAATGGTCCATCATAAAATATGCCCCCGCGTACAACAACATAACCAAAAAATGCTTGTTATGCTTATACGAAAAACTAATTATTTTATTGTATAAAAATCCTCAAGAATTATTTAACAAAAAAAAAAACTAATATCTAAATGTCGCCATGAGAACAAGTTTTTGCTGGACAACCACAAACCAAAAGATTAGATTTTTTAACTCATTTTCTTTTGTACAGATGTAGTATTTTTACGAGAAAAAACACATATTTACACCTGATTGCATTTAGCATGTAACTAATAGTTGTGAAAAATATGCAGGTTTATTTATAAATAATATATATATATATATATATATATATATATATATATATATATATATATATATATATATATATATATATATATATATATATATATATATATATATTCAGGGGTGTGCACTCGGACTTTTGGTCAGTCGCCAAAAGGGCGACTAAAACTAACCAGTTAGTTAATTTTGGTCGCCCGCCGACGTTTTGAGTCGCCCGTTGCCATTTTTTTTTTAATTTTCACTTAGCGAAGTTCTCTCATGTTTTAGTCATTTTTTGTTATATGGCTAAATGTGCACTAGAAACAATATGCGCAAATAAAAGTAATATTGATAAAATTCACTTTTCTATATCGTCATCAATTGTTACAGCTCTATCACTGTCATCATAGCTACTAGCAAAAATCTGTATTTTCTTTGACTTTTTAACTGACACAACTGGATTTTTGTTGTCCATGTTAAGCTTTTTTGATTGATACTAGTTTTATTTTTTCGTGATTGAAGCCAGTGTTTAATGGCTTTTGTTGGATCGTATAATTCCATTTCTGGACCATCAATCTTGATGCGCAATCACATAGTTAATAATTGTTACTGAGTTGTGTTCTTTGAATTGATTTAATGTTTTTCATTGTGCTAAAGCCTTTTTCCGCGTCTGCCGAACTTAAAAATAAAAAATCAATCAGAGGAAAAAGATTAGCGAATCTATATGGTTTGATATTAGTTGCTATTTGTGATAGATAGCGGTGGAAAACCAAGATAGCGGTGGAAATTATTTTGAACTACCAAGATAGCGGTGGAAATTATTTTGAACTTGCACTTGTCCATGCTCTCCGTCCATTCAACTGTGTTAAGCAACTCTTCTGTCTCCGCAAAGACATCTGATATCTTTGAACATCGTTTCAAAATGCACTTTTTCATGGATGTAGCAATAAAAAACTCGATCTTCATATTTTATCACTTCATGCAAATTAACAATCCTATATAACGAGCCCTTCTTCCAGTAAAAACCAGTCTGGATTTGCTTTAAATTTTTTTAAATTGCAAACGGCATGCTCGAGCGAAGACTTAACTTTATACTTTAAAACATTTTTTGTGTTAACCTTTAAATAAAAACATAAACAATATTATTATTGGTATATTCTTAAATTTCTAAGTAAACAATTTATTATTTGTTACATTAACGTTTTAGTTTGAAAAGCAATAGTGTATTTTTATTAAATACTATATAGTTAAGTTATATATGTAATTAAATATTTGAATTTAGTTGTTAATTCTATATATAATTTACAGCGACAAATTATGTATTTTATCAATATACAAATAATAATAATTTTTATATTTTATTTTGAAAAATTAAATTTTAATCAATGAACGTTTAGGAAATATTATTTTAGAAAAAGTTTCTAATTCTGAAAAAACTCAAAGTATGAGAGCAACGAAATATAATTATAAAATTCGAATGAATTTGTTCTTTCAAGAAAATTTTAATAGACTTTAAATTAACTAGTTCAAAAAGGAGCGCGACAAAATCTATTTATAATAAAGTTTTTATCTTTTGTAAACATTTTATTTAAATTATTGAATGTTAATTATCGCAAAGTTTATACTTCTAAAAGGTTTAATAACAATAATATTAGTATATATTACAATAAACTCACATATTACCTAATTATATATATACTTTTTTTGTTGTTTATTTATAAAGATTATAACTTTTGTTTGCGGTGAATTAATACTCTGAAAAAACCTTACTAATGCCTCTGAAAAAATTGTCATTGCTCTACACACATCAAGAATATAGATCGCCGTCGACATTAAGTGCTGATCAACCAATTTCTTTGCAAAGAACTTAGCCTTCGATTTCTGTATTGCACTGTAGTCGCTTTCCAAGCTGATAGTGGTATAACTATGAATATGCGCTTTTAGACCATTGAGTCGATTTTCCAACGCATGTACCATATGCGCAACCCATCTGGTACAATTAACTCGTATGACACTGCATTTGGCCTAAAAATTAAAATACTAAATTAAATAAATATAAAATTGGCTAAATTAATTAATATAAATTTTGATTGTTAATATTACCTAAAAATAATAAGTAAAAGTACGTTAAGATATTATCAATATAACAAGATTTAATTCTTAAAATACCTTTTACACCATAAACCTTGCATGCGTTACAATAAACCGCTGATATAACAGTAGAATTTAGATGAAAAATGAAGAGTTGCTCACAAAATAGCTGCAGAGTTTAAAGTTCCTTTGAAGTGCTGGCTGCATCTTTCAGTGCCAGCTGCAATTGTGCGACAAACAATGTGTGTAAGTGAGAAAATTGTTGCACCTACTTTTTAGCTGATGCTGAACACTATGTCTCGGTCCAGTGCCGAACACTATGTCTCCAACATTAGCCCCATCCGTAATTAAACCTACCATTAGAGGCGCTTAATTTTTTGCATGTACTATTACTTAATTTTTGTAGTCGTCTGGCTCTTCTTTACATAGGTAACCTTCAAAATTGCATTCATCGTTATTGTTGTCACTATCGCTGAATAGTTGAGATATTTCATCATCTATATGTACTAATTTCTTAGTCTTCTAGATTCAACTTAATAATCAACTTAATTGTAAACAAAATGATTGGAACTGAAATAAATATCTACTCTATTTAAACCGATTTTAGCGATAGTTTAAAATAATATACGTTTGATGGTTAAATAAATTGTTTTTAAATAATTGGAGACTGTCTGATCTCACAATAATTGCAGGATTGGAATTTATTTGTAATTTAAAATGTAATTTGTATGGTGTAAATTGAACTAAATTTCTAATGATCAGTAGTAACTAGTTTTTAAAAGTACTTACTGTAGTAACTAGTTTTTTAAGTACTAATTAAAATGCCTTTCCAGACGCAATCTAGAGTCATTAGTCATTTCTTTAATTTTTTTTTTTTTTTTTTTTTTCAGTATATGTAGAATTTCGACAAATTGTACAAATGTACTTCTATTGCTTATCTTTTAAATTATTACATATCTCTAAAATTTAATTAAATAAATAAGAATGTTTAAACGATAAAACGTTTTTGTTTTTATTTTACTTGTATTTTCTAATTAACAATAGATATGCGGTAAATAAACTTTAGCCTTATGACTTTTAAAATAGAGTTTTATTATTATTTTAGTTACTTATTGCATTAGTTACTTTGCATATTTTAAATCTCTTAAATTACACACACAAAAATATTGAACTGCCGATAAAAATCAATAGTCGCCCTTTCGGGCGACTTGATTGGATAAAAAAAATATTTTGAGTCGCCCTTCACGATATTTGGTCGCCTGGTGCCATCGGGCGACCATGAGTGTACATCCCTGATATATATATATATATATATATATATATATATATATATATATATATATATATATATATATATATATATATATATATATATATATATATATATATATATATATATATATATATATATATATATATATATATATGGAGTGTTGAAAATCATAAGTTTAATCCTGGAATTAAATTAAGCATTTAGTTCCGTGATTTTTATTTTAAATCGTTATTGGTTGAACATTTAAAAATTAAAATTTCTTTGGTTGAGATTTGACTATTTTAATATTTAAAATTCCTAAGTTTTTTTTTTTATTATTTTTTTATTGTTTAATTGCAAACAAACAGGTCTATTTATTAAAAAGTTGTGTTCAAAAAAGCAGCAATAGTCAAAAGTCTACCGGAAGGTAAATCTTTGGCTTTATCTAATAATGAGATTAAAATGGTATCTGCTATCATTAAGGGCCCTTTACCGTATGTTAATTTGTTTACAGCTGATATTGCCATAACATTTATGTTGAAAAAACTTTTTTTTAGTTATTTAGGTACTCCCAGAAGTCCTTACGGTTTTATCACAGAGCACCGCAGGAGAGCATTTAACTGGAAGTTCACGCCTCCTTCTGTACCAATGTCACTTGTTGGGCTAGAGCTGGCGTCGAACCCCGGACCTCTAGGTTTTGAGCCATAACTCTAACCACTGTGCCACGGTTGTTCAAACTTAAAAATGTTAACAACATTACTTTAATGCAACAAAGGCGTACTGATGTAAGTGGAATCCTTCAGTATCTGTACAATGGTAGAACCAACGTTCAGTCCAAATCTGAAATAGAGCTAGTAACAGTTCCGTCTACAATAAAATGTTGCAAATTAATAGTTGAGTTATTCAAAAAACTAGACACTTCAAATCCAGCTACATCAGCTTATGAGTCTGAATCTAAATTTAAACTTTGTGTTTCAAATAAAGCATTGAATGAAATTGTTTCTGCTTCTTCTGACTTTCCATCTGAATCATTATTTTTTGCTATTGAAAGGAGAAAAAGAATAATAGACAAACTTATAAATCTTTAAAAAAAGCTCATTTGCAAGCATAGCAATTTGATGTAAGGCGCTGTTGGTGACTATTCAAAAGGAAATGCTGTTGTTTGAAAAATGGTGGAACATGTAGTGATTTTATGCAAAGAGCATATAATTTTTTAATGACTATGCCTACTAGTGTAGGTTCTGCTTTTTATGTGGTCGGTCTTTTTGAAACAAAAATAATAAGTCGTCTTGGCTATAAAACTTTGGATGTGCTCTGCTTCCTTAAAACATATTTTAGAAATAATCAAAAATAATTACATATATGTATATATATATATATATATATATATATATATATATATATATATATATATATATATATATATATATATATATATATATATAATATAATATAATATAAGGTTTTTGTACAATGTTTTATTATACGCATTGTTTCTTCAGGAATAACTGTGTGGCTCTTTGCAAATTCGATTGTTTTATTTAAAATATTTGCAGTTATTGAAGAGTAAAAATCATTTATGTCAAATTGTTTTCGATTATGGAGAACCAATATATAACATCAGTAGTATTTTTCCACTGTTGTAAATTTAACTTGTTTCTAAGAATATTATTAATTTTGTCCAATTTAATTTTGCTTACATGTCTAATCTCACTTTTTGAGGGAACCAATAACCTACAAGGAAGTTTGTTTTGAAAGTTTGGTTTATGGTCTTTTAGTGTTACAAACGCTTGGGCAGGGGCAGTATATTCGATTCTGTTATCAAGGTTTATTTTTTTAGCAATACTTTGGGCTTCTAAATTAATTGCGTTTTCCAAATTTTTAGGGGCTTTCTCATAAGAACTAGTAATATTGTCGCGTAAAATTTTTTCATAGTTTTCTGTTGTGAGTTGGTAAATGTTATTTGTTTTATCAGCAAAAACCAAAACATTTAGGGTTGATCTGTTTGAAATTTATTTTTTATAGGGCGAAACTTTATTGTTTTAATTAAATGCAGTAGGTCATTTTCAAAATCAGTTTGTAATGTAAATATATATATATATATATATATATATATATATATATATATATATATATATATATATATATATATATATATATATATATATATATATATTTCAATTGGTTGCAGCATAAAGTATTTACTCCTAAGCAGAAGCTAAAGAGTTTATACTTTTATGGAGAAACAAACAAGTACTGACATTTTTCTTGTGGAGTCTGTTTCTCCAAGTATTTCCGGGATGAAGCTTTCAACATGACGTCAAGTTCTCTCAGTATTTTTACATCATCACAAAATAGTAAAATTGCTTATGAGTAAAAGCAAAACTTTATTCACATTTTTTAGCAATTGCTTTTGCTATGAGCATTTGCTTTTTAGCTTTTACTTTTACTCAAAGCAATTGCTTGTGAGCAATTGCTTTTTTTTATTCACCCGGACTATTATCAGAATTTTTATTCAAATATTTTTATAGATTTCGATTTTTTTTTATCTTTTATATTATTTAGATCCCAAGTCTGAGAAGGCCATTATTATAAAAATTTCTTTTTATAAATTATTAAATAACATTATATAAAATATATTTTAAATAAAGTTAAAGTAGAAAATTATTCTGATTTTCAATATCATTAAACAAAAAACAAAAAAAAATTTAACAGATATGAAATTAAAAAAACCCCATTGGGTAAAAACCTATATTTACCCAAAAAAACCCAAAAAAAAAGCCGAGCTTTTTTAAAAAACCAGGATTTTTGCCAACTCTGATGTTACTTGTCATTCAATTAAGTCTCATCCTTTTACTGTGGCTTTGTGCTTCAAAAATTCTTAGGCATCTAGTTTTTTTCCCCAAACATAAGTTCTTTGGAATTTGCTTTCTTCATCTTGTTTTTCTGATTTATATAATTTGCAATTTTTTAAGTCATCTGTTAATTGTTATCTTGCTTTATAAATTTCATCTTTTCATCAACTCTAATAGTGGTTGCTTGCAGCCTTGTTGGAAGTGTTAAAAAATGTATACATTATAAATTATTTAAATTTATGTTAAATAATATGTTAAATTTAGCAGAATTTTTTAAGATGCAAAATATAAATTTTTTTTAATAAATATAAATTATATATAAATTTTTTTTAGATTCTTTTATCTTTTAGGGCTTATATAAACCTAATAAAGTTATAGGCTATAAACTATAACTTTATACAACTAGATAGACCACACAAAAAGATTGATCTCTTGAAATAGCACATTCTGATTGAGCTTTTAAAGAGAATTTTTAATAATGATTTTATAAAAATACTTGTGTTATTGAAACTCAAATATATCTACTATGTGACTAAATAAAAGTGCTTGAATAAAGTGGCTACTTTATAAGCTTATCAAAATTTTGATCCTCTTAGAATGTTGCCCAACAACCATATAAAATTGCCCAAAAAAATTTTAGAAAGATGAATGGTTTTTTTTTAAGTTTAAAACAACAATATCTGAAATTTATAAAATCTGAAACTTCTGAAATCTACACGCAAATAAGTTGCAACATTGAAAATCATATTTTTTTATATATATGATTTATTTACATAAGTTCATCTAATTATATGGCTTTTATGTAAAACTACTCATTTTTGCAGGACATGTTCAAAAATTTATAAGAATGAAAAAATAATTTATGTTTCATTATAAATGAAAATATGATAGAAAATGTTTTGCACCAACATTCGTTTTAAAAATTTATTAATAATAACTTATGTTTTATAAAGAATTATATATAAAAAAAAAGAAATTTAACTGAGATAAAATCAAGAAGACTTGCAACCTTCAAATTTCCCATATTATAGTTTTATAGTCTAATAAAGGTATTCCTGCTTGAAACAATTGATTTTTCTAAAAAAATAATATTCCATGTTAAGTGGTTCTTCGTTTTTTAATTTTATTTTTATTTATATTTTTATAAATAAAAACAGTTAAATAGATAAAATATACATCCTTCTTTTTTTCTTTTTTTTTAATTTCCTCATTTATGTGATTGTAATTAGTTTAAATAAATTAATTTTGCTGAAATAGTTTCAAGAGAAAAGATTAACAATGTTGTCATCAAATTTTAATTTTTTTAACTAATTTTTTTAATGTACTGAAGCCCCTAGCAACAGGCTATTTCTTATTCTGTTATTTAACAATCAATAATGGGACAATCTGCGACACAATTCCTTTTTCACATTTTCAACAATCAAATTTGCCACAATAAAAATTTGCGACAATCAAAATTTTGTGAACAAAATTTTGCCACACCACGATTATTATTTTATTAAGCTTTAAAATCTAATTTTATTTTACTCTATTATTTAAATCTTTAAACATAAGCCTATTAAGTTTAAATATTTAAGTCTATTAGGTTCAGGTTTGGTATAGCTATGTTAGTCACATGTGGAGAAGCAACATGTTAATCAAAAATTAATTTTTTTTTTAATTTTGATGCAAAGTTTTCATTAAATCCATTCAAAGTCAGAAATGTGACAGTTACACAAAGTAAACTCAAAACAAATCATAATGTCTATTAGAACTGTTATTATAAAACAAATGTTTAAGTCTTTCGGCTTTTAAGGAAATTATTCAGATAAAATAGTTTTAATTTGGTGTAAAACTTGTCGATAATACTCAGAGCTTTTGAAAAACTGTCAGAATAAAAATGCTGCGCTAAATTAGCAACAGAAACGTTTGCATGCGGAATATCAGTCATAGAAAAGAATAAATATTCAGACCATATTTTACATTCTCATTTGTATGCAACAGCTTCATTTAAAATTGAGTGAAAAAAACTCATAATATACAACTTCAACAATTTTTTTTTGTTATAAACAACTTCGAACTTTGTTATAAACAACTTCAAAAAAAGAAACTTCAAAAAAAAAATTACCAGTTTTACAAACAACACTTTTACCACTGACAGTACCTCCTTGACATTTAGATGTTGACATTTTTTTTTCAATAATCAAGTTTTTCAATTAAACTTATTAAAATAATAAATTTATTTTATTTTTATAGGAAGGTACTGGTCCACGTGTTGTTTCTGCTTATGTTGAAATTATATTTGATAATTCTGACAACCGCATTCCGGTAAAATTTTCTTTAGTTTTTTAGTCTTTAGTCTTTAGTCTTTTTAAATTCTTTCAGTTATAAAGTGAATAATTTTTTTTCCATGTTTAAAAAAAAAGTTAACTATTTAGATAGAGAAAGATGAAATAACTTTGCGAAGAGTTATTGGGTCAAAAAAAGATCAGTATTTTTTGGATAAAAAAAATGTGACAAAAGCAGATGTTTTAAATTTATTGGAAAGTGCTGGTTTTTCTCGTAGCAATCCCTATTATATTGTTAAACAAGGAAGAGTATGTCAATGCACATTTTTTTAAATTTTTTAAGAGAGCTCTTGTTTTTATTCTACATAAAAATTACTTGTTTTGTTTTTTTTTCATTTTTCATTTTTGTTTTTTTTTCATTTTGTGCTCCAGATAAATCAATTAGCTATAGCAAAAGACCAAGAACGTTTAAAGTTACTTCGTGAAGTTGCTGGAACAAGGGTGTATGATGAAAGGAAAAGTGAGAGTGAAGTTATTCTTAAAGACACAGGTGTCATTATTATATTTGTTTAAGATCTGTAAGCAAGTTTAAAAATTTTTTAAATAAACCTATCTGTGCTTTGTCACTGAGTAGTAAGCAAAATTATTTATTAGAATGAAAAATGTAAAAGGCATTTATTTAGAATATCATAAGATATTCATTTTTGGTTATACTTTGGTATCTTTAAAGTCATTTAAAATTTTTTCTACTTTAATAGTTGTATAATATTCTTTATTAAATCTTGATTTTAAGTTAGCAAACGAGATAAGATTTCTGAAGTTTTACAATATATTGAAGAGCGCTTAGGAACTCTTGAAACAGAGAAGGAAGAATTAAAACAATACCAAAAATGGGATAAAAAAAGAAGGTAATTTTTTAGCGCAGCAAATTTTTTTAAAATGGAAAAAAATTCTTGAGAATATGATAGATGGTTAATAAATTATTAAGCTTAGAGAAACTATAAAAAAAAAAATTTTAAAAGTTCATATTTAGCCTGATTCATGCAGTGAGTAGTTTCAGGTATATTAACTTTTTTTAGATGTTTGGAATATACAATTCATGACAAAGAGCTTAAAGAAACACGAGAAAAACTTGATCAGGTTACTTTATTTGTTACTTTATTTTAATAACAAGATTTTCAATTTGTTTTAATTCTTTTGTGTTTATAAAATTTTTGAACATTTTGTTTATTTATTATTGGTATTTTAAATTTTACCAATTGAGTATTAAATACAAAATCATTAGCAGACAATAAGTATCCATTAGATATGTTTTTTGATTAGACTGTTGTTATTATTATTATTATTATTATTATTATTTATACTATTACATCTATTATTTAAATTAGATAATCTAATAGGTGGTTATTAATTTGTTAAAAAATTATATTTTGTTTAGTTAGATTCATCAAGACAAGATGAAAATTTAAGAGCATCTGAATTACTTCAAGAAGCACAAGAAGCTTCGGCAAAAGTTGAAGTACCAATTTTTTTAAATATTTTTTTAAATATTTTTCTAATATTTATACATATTGGAAAAATGAAAAAAATATTTTAATTTTTAATCATAATTTTTAGACTGCACAATTAAATGTTTCAAGTAGTAACCAAGGGTAATCCATTTATTTCAATATATATAGGAGCAAAATAATATGCTGAAAGATGTTCAAGAAAAATGTTCAGTTCTCAATATAGAAATGAAGCAATTGAATGATGATAGAGACAATTTTATGAAACTAAGAACAAAATTAGAGTTAGACATTAAAGATTTAGAAGATGGTGTAAAAGAGGATGAGACTTTAAAACAGCAAGCAATTCAAGAACTTAAACTTATTGAGCAAACAATAATTGAAAAAGAAAATGAACTAAAAAATATTCTTCCTGAATTTGAATCAAAAAAATCTATTGAAGAATCTTTTCAAGCGCGGTATTTTTTTATCTTTTACATTCTTATTAAAATATTTTATAGAGTTTTTATATTTTAATGAAAAAATTTTAGACTGCAAGCTTCTGAACAAAGGCGTACTGATTTATACTCAAAGCAAGGCAGAGGCAGTCAGTTTCACAATAAAGATGATAGAGATAAATGGATTCAAAAGGTTTTGTGTATATTTTAAAACCATTTTAGATTTAAATATATTTTAAAAAATTTAATCGATTTTAATAGGGTGGGGCATTGTGGGTTTATTGGGTAATAAGAGTCTAGTTAATAGCTACCAGTTTTTTTTTTACAAACTTTAGGTAGCTTAAGGTAAATAGGTTTTTTTTTTCTGTATGTTTTTGGTGTTTAAAACGTTGTGTGTGCTACAATATATATGGTTTGTATGGAAGAAAACATAATTGGAAAACATTTTGGATTCACGCAAAATGTATTCCAATTGACAAACATACTCGCAATCTGCTTTCCAATGACACTTTTGAATGGTTTCCTAACTGCTTATCAAACAATATGCCGTTTAGTAAACTCTCTGATGAAACTTTTAATTAACTCTTTTCTGCAAGAATTCTCCTTATAAAATAAAATCTCATTAACCCCCTGATTACCTCAAAAATTTATTTAAAATTATGAACAATCTGTTTAATCCAACAACAAAATGCAAATTCCTTAATGAACTAAATAAATCCATTAATTCTGGTACAGAAATTTATCTTCATCCTAATATTTCTTCTCTTCCATTTTACATAAAAATGATGCTTCTCCAATGGTGATAAGAGTTATTGAGTCTAACTTTACAAGGATATAACATTGAGCATTGTCCAAGAGTCAAAAAAAGGTTAAACGCTTCTTTACTTAAATTCAAATCTCAATTGCATAATTTTTGCTGATCTCCTAATTTATGCCTCCATCTGTGACCAGTTGGCAAAATTTGTTTGTATTCCTAAAAATCCACCTATTTTTATTTTTTTTTTAAACATTTAAAAGAAGCTTCAAAAAATTTGATTCAGATTCTCTTATCCAAGAAATTTCTGATATTGGGAACTTAACTAATAATATAACTGGGAACTTCTAATAAAAGAAAATGATAACATAAAGGAATCTATAATCTTTTTCCTTAAAACATTTGTAAAAGTATTATATCGGTATGCTCCCTACAAAGAATTAATAAAAAAACAGAACTCCAATCTAAACTCTGGATAACTTTTGGTATTTTTAAACTATTTCTAATAAAAACTTTAAATACCAAAAATCTATTATTTACTAAATTTAAGTTATACAGAAATAAAATTAGCAATTTGTTAAGATATTCTAAAAATTATACTATGCATCTTTTTTTAATAACAACATCAATAATGGAAAGAATACTTTGAAAGGAATTAAGAAAATTGTTAACATCAAACCTTCTACTTATACTAGGTCTTTTAGTCTCAAAATCAATGAAAATATCTTCATACCAGTGCATAGTGGTGCAAAACCTTAAAAATTGGCCATAATTCAAAATATTACAAAACATAAAATTATAATTATTTTTTTTATTGAATTATACTTCTTAAATTATCTAAAAATATATAGGTTTGTTATTTATGTTTATTAACAGGACAGCTACATGGATTTAAAATACCTCATTTTTGTAATAAACTTTTGTTTAAAAAGTACAAAAAATTTTATTTCAGTTTTTTTTTTTAATTATTCATAAAATTAGTTTTTTTTTTCAGTATGTTCAAGATATTTTAACTTTTACATCAAAAATTTTTTCATGTATTTTATTTGTACCGCTTGAGGGGTTGTAACAATTTTTATTATGTTTTCTTATACTAACAATGGTATATGACACTTAAAAAATTCAGTTAAAATGATTAAGTTTTATAATTTTTATAAAAATTTTAAAGTTGAGTACTTTTGATTTGGCAATTTAAAAAAAAAATTTTGAGTATTATTTGAATAGCTTTATTTATTTCCATAGAAACGGTTATGGTGCAAAGACAAAAAATAATATTTATAAATTTACATTAAAATAAGATTTTTCAAAATAATTTATTTAAAATTACTATGTTAGTTTATTAATATTAATCATAATAGTAGTCAGGCAAATCAACATCACTATTTTTTAAGTCTTGTAATAATTCACTAAAATAAACTCTTCTTCTTTGTCTGCTTCTTCTTCCTTATCGATCTCTTCTTTGTCTGCATCTTGTTCCTTATTGGTCTCTTCTTCTTCGACTTGCTAATTTATTTGGTTCGTTATTTCCTCAACTTCAAATATACAAACACATATTAGATCATTTTGTATGTCAAATTAGCTTTTTTCTTGTAAGTCCACCAGTAAAAGCATTTCGCTTGTGAATTTCTTAGCCATTGCTTTGTTACTACTTTCAATTATTGTTGAAATAATAGGATCACTTGTTTCTAAACTTTGTCCATACTCTGCTCATTTTTCTGGAATATTCATCTCTATATTTCCTATACTCTTTGATTCTTTTCTTAGCTGGATCTTCTGATGAAACTCCATAAAATCCAAACAATCTTGGCAGATGAATATTTGACATGACTTTAGAGATTATCTTTTTCTGGATATTTCTGAAATTCCAGATAATTTTTAAGTTTTCTATATTTTGCAGATAAATAAATAGTTTTTTCCGAAACAAAAGTTAGAAAAATATTTTTTTTGTTACTGTCATCAACTGCAACAGTAACAATTATATATAATCAGTAAATGTATTATCCGTAAATTATAGAACGTTATATTTAGTTAACAAACAAAGCCAAAAAGATTAAAAGGTTTCCCTTGCAGAGTAGAACCAAAAATTATTAAGCATTTTAATAACGATCTCAGCGCAAAAGTGTGAATGATCTTCTACTTTTAAAATAAAATTAGCGATGCATGTCAAACACTTATCTTTTTTTTAAAAATTGTAAATTTACATCTTTTAAATAGGTCTTTTAGCTTTTAGCAAAGAGATTTCTTTTTATTGTTTTAAAAGAGACTTTTTATTGTTTTAAAACTTTTTTTAAGTAAATCACTTCTCTTATGGACAGAAACTTTTCTTAGTTTGATTGTTGGTGGTTCAAAATTCATTGCATCATTATTTTGTTTTCTGTCCAGTCATACTGTTGCAAGCCTCTTTTTGCACACACTTTTTAAAAGTATTATTACAATTTAGTGAAAAAGAAAAAAAACTTACATTATTTTTTTGCATAACTTGTTATTAATTGGAGACTTTAAAAAGTTTTGACGATGGTATTGGGTTATAGAGTTTCTTTTCTTTGAACGCAAATCCAATATAACTGTTTAAATTGCCGAAAATGTTTCTATATTAAGACGGGTTGTCTTAAAGGGATCCCTAAGTGCTCCTAACATATGATTTCATATGAAAGAGCATAAAAAAAAATAATGTAAGTTTTTTTTCTTTTTCACTAAATTGTAATAATAAATGCATGCTAACAAAATACAAATGCCGAAATCACTGAAAAACAACTCCATTTTGATTTTATTTTTTTTACCATTGAAACTCGATTGTTAGTTGTTAAAAATCATGTTAGTACGTCACAACAACTTTAGAATATCTGCTTCGATTTTTAAGTAAAAAAAAGTTTTGCAAAAACAGTATAATAGAATTGGGTTGAAAGACGTCGTTAAAAAAAGATGTTAAGTAATAGTTTTAAATAATTTAGAACTTATAAAAAAGTCTTACAGAGCTCGTATTAAGCGTATTGCGATTGCTTTTCACTTTCACGATTAGTTTTTTCTTTATAAAAATTTTTTCGCAATTTGTTTTTTTGTTTTTTTTGGTTGTTTAATTACTTTTTTTCTAGCTTAGCATCTTTTTAGCAATTCTTAAAAGTAATGTTTTTATCATAAAGAACGTCACGCAAAATTTATTATTCTTAATAGATAAATGAATAGACGATTTGCTCTTAAGCGCGGAGATTTTCTTTTAACGTAAAACATTTTTGAATTTTAATTACTTTAAATCTCTGCTTGGAAAATTTTTAAAAGGTCGTTAAAGCAAAAAGTTGAAAAAGGGAAAAGACGTTAATTTGAATTTTTTCTTCATTTTTTCTTCATTCAACAGCCTGGTTTTTATCTTTGTTTATCAAAACTTCATGTTTAAAATAAGGCTTGAAAACGTTAGAGCAAAAAAAATTGCTGACTTTTATTTGCATTTTTATACTGTTTGAAAAAAAAACTAATAAAGAAGAATTAATTATTATTATTATTAATTCTAATAATTATTAATATAATATTAGTTAATTCTTTTTTATTAGTTTTTTTTTTCAAACAGTATAAAAATGCTAAAAAAAAACAGCAATTTTTTTACTTTAACGTTTTTAAGCCTTATTTTAAACATGAAGTATAATTTGATTTATTAAACCAAATTTTTTTGTTTCACTTTTTATTGGTAAACAATTGATATAGAACAATTGAATAAAAACATTAACTTAAAAACCATTTAAATAAAAAATTTAATTATATTTAAACTTTTATAATTCTTTTATTTAAGAAACAATAAATTATAAAAAACGTGGTATTTAATTTTTTATTAAGTTTTTGACCATGTTTTTTGATTTATTGACTGTAATTTTTTAATTTATTAATACAATTTCATTTATTTGCTTCGTTTTATTTTAAACGCATTTTATGTTATTAAACTGTTTAAAACAGCAACAAAACAGTGTCACGAAGTTGTTTTACATTAACACAAGCTATTTATATTTTAATGACAACTTTTTGTTTTATTGTTGTTTTATAGCTTTTTACAATAACCATTAAATACTCATTAAAAACGCGTGTTTTATTGTCAGCGCGATCATATTAAACAGTTTTCTATGACTAATTAAAGTGGTTTAAATATTGCAGTGACGGATCCAGGAGTTTTTGGTGGAGGGGGATGTTGAAATATTTTTGAATTTTGTACCATGTTTGCATCTCCTAAAATAAGCAAAAAACAAGGTCCTCAATTTCTATGATATTTTCAAGACTTTCAGATTCTTGTGGGGGAAGGGGGGATTCATACCCCCATCCTCCCCCTGAATCCGTCACTGAATTATAGTAATGTTTGCTTTTTACTCTTATTTTTTTACATTTACTTTTTTAAGTATCATGTTAAATAAAAACAATTACTTAACTAATAGTATTAAATACGTTACTTGCTCATTACA